AGCTCCTCAACGGAGAGTAGGATCGCAAGATCCGAACTTCGGGAAAAAAATCGCTCTTGTCTCTTTCTATGATGTTTCTGTGGATGATTCTGTGATCTATCTTCTGCTTAGAATACCTGTGCATCATCTTGTGAAGATTGGCTTAGTCTCCTGTTTCAAAATTTGAATTTCGTCTTTGTTCCGTTACCCGGAAGTTCCTGTCCTAAGAACACAGGAAGTTCCGGGCCTGGCAGACCGGAAGTTATGGTGTTCCTTACCAGAAAGTTCCGGGTCTGCTTGAATTTTACCGCTGTGATTTATTTTTGAGTTTTCAGGGACAGCCTATTCACCCCCCCCCCTCTAGGCTTCATCAGCACGTTCAATAGGTTGAATATCAATTGAACTGGGCTAATTCTAAGGCCTCAAGAATTGTACTATTTGATAGTTACTGCAAAGTGCTGAGAGAAAGTGGACTTCTATATGATTATGTGCTTCGCAATATTTGATCTACTACTTTAATTGCAAACAAACTCTAAAGCATATTTAGACTAGCAAATAGCAAGTACCTGGAATGAAACATATATGGCTATCTTAGTGTAAACAACTTACAAATATGCCTAGTCTTGATAGCCATATATGAAACTATCAAGAAGTTTACAATGGCAACCTGTTTTATTTGTTATAACCTAGTTGCATTTCTTGGTAGATATGCCAAGAAGGTTCTATTAGTCTTGAAATGTTGCACTTTTTATCTAGGTATACTGCACTTTCTTGTATTAAATATTGTATGGTTTCTAACTCCTGAATCTATCCAACAAAATAGCATGCCATCTCAGTTCTTTAGGATTTCAATACTTCTGAATATTAATGCAACTTTTCTTTCCATTATTCTGAGCAGTGACCTCGGGTTTTTTCTCATTCACCCCCTCCCCCCTACGTCCAATTTAGTTTCATATGCAACACTCTGACACAAGCAAATATTCATACAGGATTAGCATAGGAAAGTTTTCAGTGACGGCCATCTCCCTGGATGATTATCTTCCAATGCGAAGTAGTGAAGTGAAAAACCGGTAATCTTCTTCTTTTGTTCTTTGATTTATTTATGTGATCATAGAATTCGGTAGAAATTAAGATGCCCTGTAAGATGCTTCTTCCAATTCCCACTTGCCAGTTAGAACTTCACATGTCCAAATCCCCTTCCAATAGATCTTTCACTATTAAGTCTTGAAATCATTTATTGCTCCTTCCGAATTTACACGGTATAACATGGCAGCACTTTGCTTCTGAATTTACAAAGATTATATGGATAGCATCCGTCTAAAGTAGGGCAAGCTATCTTAAAATGTGGTAAGACCATTGGGAAAATGCACTAGCATAGAGTACTAGTATTCTCAATTAGCTTTGATTTAACTTCACCTATTCTTTATACAGATCAAACTCATAAGGAGCATTAATGGATCACATAATAACTCAATGTCAATCCCAAATTTCAAATAAACCTATACCTTCCCCTTCTTCCCATAAGAACTTTAAGCGGAGACATGATGGCATCTACTTGACCTTTTCTTGACCAAAATCTTTTATGTGGAAAAAAATGAGAAAAAAAAACAAAAACCTCATCATGGAAAAATTGGCTAAACCTTACAATTTTAGGTTACAGTGGCTCAACATATAAAGGTTACCAAGTACATGTAATAATCGATGCAATAATTGGAGTTCCCTTCCACTTCCGAGAAAAATCTAGCGTCAGAGCTATTCGAGAAAAATCTAGCGCCAGAGCTCTAGCACACGCGCAATTGCGTTCTTCGTTGGGCTTTCCATCTTTGTTGGGCTTTTCATGAGCCTGATTATATGGACCGAAAAATCTAGCGCCATAGCTATAGCACACGCGCAATTGCGTTCTTCGTTAGGCTTTCCATCTTTGTTGGGCTCTTCGTGAGCCTGATTATATGGACCGAAAAATCTAGCGCCATAGCTATAGCACACGCGCAATTGCGTTTTTCGTTAGGCTTTCCATCTTTGTTGGGCTCTTTGTAAGCCTGATTATATGGACCAATCCGCAGGATTGTCCAAACTGGGTCGGCGTCACTGTGGCCCACAAATCCACAAAGGATTGACCCATACACCTCTAGCAGCACCGCGCCGCCGCCCCCAACCCCTTCCAGGTTGCTCAAAGCCCCTATGGTCTTGCCGCTCTCCTCTGCCTCTGCGCCCGAGAGGTGGCCGCCGAAGTATTTGGCCAGGTTCTGGCAGTCGTTCTTGCCTTACGAGTTGTACGATGATTCTTGGCGACCGCTATGATTTGATTTGTGATCTCCTTGTCTACCTAAATTTGTTTATTGTTTTTGCAGTCTTTTTGTTAAAACAAGTGTTCATCATATTTAATATTTAGCTTCTCTCTTAAAACTAGTAGTAACATGTATTGATGCATAAGTCTATATGACTAATTGATTATTTGCTTTGCAATATTAAATCTACTACTTTAATTTCGGGGACAAACTCTAAAGCCTATTTAGTCTAGCAAATAGTTGTAAGCCCGGAATGAAACTTATTTGACTATCTTAGTGTAAAGAACTTTAAATGAATGGAAGTATACTCTAGAGTAGAAGTTTGCAATCGCGACCTATTTTATTTGTTACTTGAAAATCGATGTGCCGTTGGCACGCTTACTAGTCAGTCTATATATATACTTATCATTCAAAAATACTGCATTATAAAATTGATGTGCTCACTAATTTAATATATATACACACATACTTTTTTCTTATTAGAAATTTTAGAATTTTCATAAAATATTTTAGAAAGAAAATTGTAAATCATTATTTTAGTTTTTTTCATGCTAATTTCAGATTTACTTATATTATAGGATTAGTACCGAGTAGACGCATTATATTTAAAAAAGGAAAATGAATATAAATTTATTGTTTTAGATTTTTTTTTCTTAATAATTTTCTCCGCCCCAAAATAAACTAACTCCTACCTTTTTACCTAACACCAATCCGCAAATCGAGAAATTTTATTACTTCAATACCCCTCACCTACTTATCAACCAATATAACTTTCACATTAAATAAGGGTGTTATAGTCTTTTGCTTTTATCCTTAAAGTTTTATTAGGATGCTAGGGTTTGAATCTTTTAGGGAGTCATAGAGTAGTACCGAATAGACATAGTATATTTATAGAAGGCAAAGGAGTAGAAGTTCGTCTAATTGGAAAGAAAAGATAGTTTTGGAAGCCTCTATAATTCATGTGATATTTTTCTCTAGATTTTTCCTCGCGTATGATTGTTTGGTGTTTTTTTCTTTAGTATAAATTTATGATTTTTCTTCAAAGTAAAAGGCGCCACGTGGACCAATCGAAAGCTAGCAAAAGAGCCCGCTTTAGATTATTGGATTGGACTTAAATTCTATAATCCAATGTAATGTACATACATATGTGTATATAACTTTTTAATCGAGTACTTATAAGATTTGTGTATGTATTTATTTATTTATGGTATCTGTATATAAAAGAAACGAGAGGAACCTATGCAAGGAAGACGAGATGAGGCACAGGGTTTGAGTCGGGGTTGTCATGTGACTCGCATCCGCGAACACACTACCACTCGTCTTGTTTTCTTCTCCATTAAGCTTCACCGTTTAATAGATCGTAACCATACAGATACCCATAATTTGATCGAACGACCGTGAATTTTCGGATGACGTGGCGGTAAGCTCTCTAACACGCTGGCCTTGAAGAGGACCATGACATGTGTGGCCCAAATCTACATTACACATACGATTTTTTTTTCAACTTAGTGGCATTTTATGATGGTGCATTTCAAATTTGGCTTGAGAAATTTCAAATTTTTATCGCAAATTTAAGCCAAATAGAGATAATAGTGCTAGAAAATAAGCGAGCTCGTTGGCGCGCTATTTTCATAGCCCGTGTGTAATCTTATTGTTGAAATTTTACTAAACCATACCAGAGTCAATGTGCCTCTAATGTTATAAAATTTGATTATTAAAAATATAGTTCGTCAAAATTAGCACCTTAAAGTCAAAAATGTATTTTATGAAGGCAATGAGTATTTTAATGGTATATTATATTTACATGTGTTTTATGATAGTTTAAAATATCAATTTCTCAATACCTACTTTTTTTAAGAAAATAATTTTAATTCATTTGTTTGTGTTCTCGAATAATTATGACGAACTTGGTTTTATTTATCATCCATTAGCTAGACATGTTTTCATAGTTTTCTTCTTTTTTTCACAACATAAATAAATCAGGTCTCTTATTGGGACATATAATGCGTGCACTTAACTATTACAATCACAGCATACAGATATTTTCATGCCTTTCTAAAAAAAATTTCTTGCCCCCAACATTGAAAAATATTACTATTATCATACATAATTTTTTTTATTCGATGTTCTTTAACAATTGTACATATAAGTCAAATTTTCAATGAGCAGCTCACATAAGCTAGCTTAATAGCTATGATAGTATATATGTTAATACATGGAAACAAGTAATCAAGTTACGACATGGGGTTTCAGTTACACAGACATGTAATGGTTCTAATGATCAGGTGGATTAATTCCCTTGAAGCTGCAGCCACAGGAAGTCTCTCGATGTTTCATTTTTTTCACTCACACGTCATTTTTTTTACCTCATATATAGCTCCAGTTAATCTTCATATCCAACCCTGCCGCGTGGTCCAATCCAAATCCGGCAAAACGGCTGGCTTGAGATTAGTTGATTGATAACATACTTGCATTTCTTGGTAGGTATTCCAAGAAGGTTCTATTAGTCTTGGTTTGTTGCACTTTGTTTTTCTTTTCTTGGTATGTTGCTCTTTCTTTTATTAAAGATAATAGTTCTATTAGTCTTGGTTTGTTGCACTTTGTTTTTCTTTTCTTGGTATGTTGCTCTTTCTTTTATTAAAGATAATATGCTTTCTAATTCCTGAATCTATCCAACAAGATACATTGCCAGCCATCTCAATTCTTTACAGTTTCAATACTTCTGAAGATTTATGCAACTTTTCTTTCCATCGTTTTAAGGAGTGACCTCGGGTTTTTGCTCATTCATCCTCCCTCCATTCAATTTAGTTTCATATGCAACACTCTGACACAGACAAATATTCATACAGGATTAGCAGAGGAAAGTTTTCAGTGACGGCCATCTCCCTGGATGATTATCTTCCAATGCGAAGTAGTGAAGTGAAAAATCGGTAATCTTCTTATTTCGGAAGGAAATACCGAGTTCATTGTTTTATTTGTGTGATCATAGAATTCGGTAGAAATTAAGATGCCCTGTAAGATGCTTTTTCCAATTCCCACTTGTCAGTTAGAACTTCACATGTCCAAATCCCCTTCCAGTAGATCTTTTACTATCAGGTCTTGAAATCATTTATTGCTCCTTCTGAATTTACACAGTAACATCGCAGCACTAAGTTGCTTCATACCATGTACCAAATTGCTCTTGCTTATAGCCATATTTGTGTGTGTACCCCCGGTCGCCTGTAACGGTGTAAGCTGGATATATAAGACATGCTTGATGTGTATTATCAATTTCAGGTCTTACAGGAATAACCATTTACCCAATAAAGAAACACAAGATTTTCTTGTTATTGTCAACTTTGAGAAATGAAATAATCATGTACAATCTTGTTGTTGGTAAATAGTAACTCCAATTTGTGCCTGGTAAATATATAACTTAACAATCATCTGGATCTGATTGCTTAAACTCAAGTATTTGATTTTTATGACTTTGATACCTATCAGCTGGTCAGCTCTGATCTTCCTGTTTCTGAGCCACAGGACATCAACAGGTGATATCACTAGCCTCAGAGTAATAACAGCGGTTAAAACCCCTTATCTGCCGGATGGAAGATTTGATCTTGAAGCATATGATTCGCTGATAAACATGCAGATAGAAGGTGGTGCTGAAGGTGTAATAGTGGGAGGAACAACAGGAGAGGGCCACCTGATGAGCTGGGATGAACACATCATGCTTATTGGGCATACAGTTAACTGCTTTGGCACTAAAATTAAAGTGGTCGGCAACACAGGAAGTAACTCAACAAGGGAGGCTATTCACGCAACTGAGCAGGGATTCGCTGTAGGTATGCACGCGGCTCTCCACATCAATCCTTACTACGGGAAGACCTCCGTCGAAGGGTTGATCTCCCATTTTGAGGCTGTTCTCCCAATGGGTCCAACCATCATTTACAATGTGCCATCCAGGACTGGCCAGGATATTCCTCCTGCTGTTATTGAGGCGGTTTCAAGTTTTTCAAACATGGCAGGTGTCAAAGAATGTGTTGGACATGAGAGGGTTAAGTGCTATACTGACAAAGGTATAACCATATGGAGTGGTAATGATGATGAATGCCATGATTCTAGGTGGAAATATGGTGCCACTGGAGTCATTTCTGTAGCCAGCAACCTTATTCCCGGTCTCATGCGTAAGCTCATGTACGAAGGGGAGAATACAGCGCTCAATGATAAGCTACTTCCTCTGATGAAATGGTTGTTTTGCCAGCCTAATCCGATTGCGCTCAACACCGCCCTGGCTCAGCTTGGAGTGGCAAGGCCCGTTTTCAGATTACCTTATGTACCTCTCCCCCTTGAAAAGAGGGTTGAGTTCGTCCGAATTGTCGAATCCATTGGACGGGAAAATTTTGTGGGTCAGAAAGAAGCAAGGGTTCTTGATGATGATGATTTTGTGTTGATCAGTAGGTATTAATATAATAAATAGTGTGTGCTTAGACGAACATATTGTCGCGGTATGATAATCTGCCGTATGGCTTTTAGACATTTCATTACATGATGCGTGATTGGTTTTATATGTGATGGTAATCGATCTAACTTATATGTCGTGTACATCATCTTCCTTGTTCGTGAATGTTATTCCCTGTGGCTATATCCTGACCATTTATACATGCATCATCAATTCCTGGTTCTGATTTCTGAGTTGCGCTTCATTCTGTTTTCTCCTCTTCTTCCTTGTCCGCCGAGTTGCTCTTGGTGATGGACGACACGAGCGAGAGCGGCGCCTGCTTCGCCCATCGCTTGATGTCGTACACCCTCTTGCCGGCCTTCCTCCCTTTGCCGTGCGGCTTGAACGCGCCGTTCTGCCTGTCCTTGGTGATGGCGATGGCCAGGTCGTTGGGGAACAGCGACCTCCAGACGAACGCGTGCAGGAGCGTCGACACGAGCAGCAGCGACACCATCGTCGTCGACATGAGGGAGAGGCTCAGCGCGAGCGCCCTGCTGGTGAAGCACGGCTCCGCCTCCGCGTACTTGACGGTGGCCAGCGACGCCGTCGTCATCGGGAACGTGTACGACCACCACGCGATCGAGAACCTGCAATGGGAGCGGTCAGTCGCCGCGGCGCGAGTGTTGGCGTGGTTAGCAGAGCAGGTGTGTGGTTGTGCTCACCGGAAGCCGCGGAAGAAGTTGATGCGAACGACGAGGGACATGTACAGGAAGAGCGCCATGAAGAAGAAGGTGCGCGCCACGGCGTCGAAGCTGCCGTAGATCGCCGCCCACGCGAGGCTCGCCGCCGACGGCGTGGCGATGAACATGGAGTACACCGGGTGGAGCTCCTTGGGCAGCGCCTCGTTGGTCGGCAGCCGCTGGTACAGCGTGACGAACACCACGATGTAGTGCGCGACGCCGATGGCCCAGAGGAACTTGCCGGCCTCCGCCCAACCGACCCTCGCCGCCAGGATGGCCCCGACGAAGTTGCCCACCACCGAGAGGTGGGACGACGGGTTGGCCACCTTGCACAGCCTCCGCTTGCCGCCGGAGAGCCACTGCCCGTAGATCTTGAGCTCGAGCCCGAACAGCGGCGCGACGAACGCGCACCAGACGGCCGGGTGCAACCTCTCCGGCGCCACGGCGCGCGGCAGGCCGATGGTGAGGAACATGGCGGCGATCGACGGCGCGAAGAAGAAGTTGACGCGCACCGGGTGGAAGTACTCGCGGCGGATGGCCTCGAAGTAGAAGACGCACTTGAGCGCGTAGGTGACGGACACGGCGACGAGCACGGCGAGCGCGAGCAGCCACAGCGCGACGTTGATCATCGGCGTGACGTGCAGGAACCTCATCGCCGGGCTCGCCGCCAGCGCGCCCCACAGGATGGCCTGGCTGCCGAGCCCCAAGCAGACACCGAAGCAGCCGACCGGAAACCGCAGCAAGAACGGCCACACCTCGTCCTTCGGCAGCAGGATGTCCTCGTAGTCCTACAAGAACAGCACAGCTAGCTCAACATGATTCTTGCATGGAATAATCAGCTTGACGTGTTCACCATGTATGCGAGGAAGAATTTCTACTTACGCGGACTTCGTCGAGCTCTGGGCCGCGGAGCGCGGCGAAGTACCGGCCGGCGGGGACGCTCTTGTTGAGAGGGTCCTCGCCGCCCTGCCTGCCGACGGAGGGGCCCTCGACGTGCGGCGGCAGCTCGAGGTCGGGCTCCCTGATCCTCGACGGCAGCAGCGAGTTCTGCTTGCTCAGCGTCGACTTCGTCCGGAACATGCTGAAGTCTCCCCTGCGTGCCGCGCCGTCGCCGGCGGCGGCCTGGCCGAGGGCGCCGGTGTGGTTGAGCACCCCGAGGCTCTTGCCGCTGCGCGGGAGCGCACGCTGCTGCCCCCGGCCGCCGTTCTTGCCCACCTTGTCCATGCCCAGCACCGTCACGCCGCTGCCGAGGGAGACCTGCCGGCTGAACGCCCGCTGCATCGGCGGCGGCCTCCGCTCGCCGCGGATGTTGATCGGCCCGCTCATCGCCGACTGCCTCGCGTCCTCGGGCTGCGCCTGCGCCGCGCGGATGTCCACCGTGTGGTGGCCGCCCGTCGACGACGACGACGAGGACGGCTTGGCTGCCATCCTGCCGCTTGATAGTTGATACTACGTACGTGAGCTCCCAAGAACTAAGATGGTAGAGGCCAATATAAGCTCCGATCGGTGGCAAGCGGGTTATTTTAGCCCGCTTATCTCACTTCTAGTTTATTTTTTCTTTTAAATTTTGTATCAGCATGTGAAAAATAAATTAGCAAATGGGTTTTTATGCGGGTAGTTTCCACTACCCACTTGCATCCCTAGGTGGGAGCTTTCACGTGTGGCGTCGCGGCGTGCGTGCATGGAGAGGCATTAGGCGGCGGAAGCCATTGCTGTCCAGGTGGTTGGTCGATGTGAAGGAGATGGATTGCTAGCCATGCCTTTTGCTCCAGAGGAAGAAATCAATGGCGCGAGGTCACGAGATGAGGAATCCATTGGGTGTGCGGTGTGCCCCGTCGTCGTGTAGGTCATGAAATCCGCACAAAAGCTGTGGTTTTCCTAAGCATATGATCTGTGAAAGGAAGAGGCCGTCAACAGCCGAAGGCTGCCTGCTTGCTGTTCGAGGTTGGCATTTTGGCAAAAAAAAAGATGATCACGGGGGGACTATGAAACTCTGACTCGGCATGAAAAAGGACAGCTTAAGATTAAACATGAGGTCTAGATTAGCTCCAACTAGTACCAGAAAGAGGCAAAGAGCGATTCTCACTTTGGCTCAATGAATGTGTTTCTTTTAGTTTTAAACTGTTGCAAACCCACGGAACTAAAAAGATTGCCAGTACCCAGGAAGTGCTGGATACATGTATCATCCAGGAACCACAAACAATATCCCTCGGAATTTGGAAATTTGTAACAAGATTCGGATTAGCTAAAGATTAAGCAAGACTGGTAGATAGACCTGTTATTGAATCTCATGCATAAGAAAAACAGGTGAAAGGTATAATTAAATCTCATGTCTCTCGTCATACAATTTCCTGATTTCCTCAATCATCTTCCAGCATTTCTGAATGAAGATGCATACATGTGGTGCTGCAGTACTTGTAATTGTACCTGTGGAATGGTACTTTGCCGACCAAGGAAGAAAAACAGCACGAACAAGAAGTATCGTCTGCCGCGGCTGCTCTCTGTGGGGGATGTTCTGCTGCTGCTGTCCCTGATGTGCTACTTGATTGTGCCGCCAGAGCCGCAAATCTTCTTTCGGCTGCGGCTGCTCTTTTCTCTCTTTCCTCGGCGAGTTTCCTTTGTCGTTCCTCCTAATTAACAGTATAAAAAGGTATAAATGTCATAATATATTCGTCTACTTGAAAACCACTCCAAGTGTAATATTGTTGCCATAATGCTACATATAACACACCTCTTTCGAAAGTGCCGTAGGCTGGGGCAGCTGATGCTTTTGTTTCAGGCCTGGCATAGAAGCAGTTGCATTGGCCATTTGACCAGCTGAAGTGCCTCTTACATTAGATTGGGTCCTTTGGGACTGTGATGCTTGTGCCTACAATGTATAAGGATCATGTGCCATGAATAAGAAACTGTATAGATGTCTCAAAGATGGTTTAATCCAACTAGTTATAAGTAATATTTGCCAATCAATGAAAGTGGTATTTAAGTGGACTAAACACCATCAAGTATAGCACATTCAATGCAACAAGTGCATGTACCTTTCAACGGTTATCACCAAAAAAAACAGGATATTGCATCCATGTGCAACCGAAGATCTATTCCACATATGTGATCAGATTGACTAGTCTTACAGCGAAAATGAGATCAGCACTAACCTTTTCTTTTTCTTTCTCCTTTTCCTTTTCTCTTGCTTTCTTCAATTTCTTCAGTTCCTTTGCTCTTGCCTTCTTCTTGGCATCCTTCTCTGCCTACAACACAATGCATGCCAACTAACACAGTCAGGGCATTCACTCAAACAGATCACAAGTAGCAGCTCCTAAAGGGCAATGAAAGAGAAAACATAAACCATTATTCAGGGGACATAAAACTCACCTGCTTTGCAGCTTGTGATTCTTCCATTTCCTTTGTTAGTGCACTAGGCACATCAGCCGCATGCCAATCCCATTTGTCTAGGTTGAGTGCCATAAATCTTCTGAATGTATTTCTAACTTCTTTGTCCGAAGCCAGCAAGTAAGGTGTTTTTCCTCTTGCATCTTTAATACAAGGATCCAAACCCTGCTCAAGCAACTCCAGTGTTTGCTGAGCATTGCCAGACTTTGCTGCTTCGTGAAGAGGCGTTGTTTCATTATTAGATGGATGTATGGATGTCCCTTCGTGCTTATTTGGCAAGTCCAAACTTAAGGACGAGACAGAAATAGATTCCTCAGAATCCATAATTTTTTTCTGCTTTGCCTCTTTACTTTGTTCAAAACTTGTCACATCCTCTACATGGGGTTCATCCGTACTCAAGCATTCCATCTCATAACAGAGCTGTGTTAGGTTAGTATATAACCGTTTTGCTTCCTTCAAGGTGGGCCGATGAACAGTCAATGGGATTGGACGAATATCACAAGCCTGCAATACCGACTGAGTCTTATCCCCATCAAAGAGCATTTGACGGTTCTTTGACGGAGCATACATAAAGACACAGACACAAAGGTCAAAGTATGACTTCCAAGAAGCTATTAATTCTTGAATTTCCTGCAACAACATTAACCAATGGGAAACATGAACCAGTTTAGATATTATTTGTAGTCTGCTTGTTAATATATGCTATATTTGAGTTCAGAAATAAATGTATTAGTTTCCGATGAACAGGAACGTAAAGGACATTTGCTTCGGAACGTATGGTACCTTTTTCAATGCCGCTTCATTATAACGGCGAAGAGATGAGCCTGCTGAATGTGCAACCTTCCCAGTAGCATCTTTCCCAGACTGCCTCTTTCCAGCCTTTGCCCTTACAACATACCTAAAATATAAATGGACAACAATTGTCGATACTTATTACCAATATAAACCTTGTATTCATTAAAAAAGTCAAGACATTGTATGATGATGTGAGATACTGAGATTGTATGGTTCTTTACAATGTACAGAGAATACAGAAAAATCACCATAGTGTTATCTACGAAAACATTACAGCTAATAACAATGTATAATTATAAATAAAAGTTGAAACAGACAACCTTGTTTACCTATGAAATGTTTTATGGGCTATGACTGAGTTTCCATCAAAAACACATCCAGCAAAATGTCCACCACTTGTTAGTAGAATGATCCTCAAACGTGATGCATCACGAGGCTCAGATGTCAAATTCTTCACTCTATTTAGCATTTCATCCTCTTGTACAAATGGTGTAGATCCATGACTTTCTGTCTGACCAGACTTGCTATTGAAAACTGGCTCTTCATGTTCTTTCAACAGTATGCATCTCCAGATAGAAACTGTGTCACCAGAATGACAGCGAAAATAAAGTTTCTTCCTGAATTCTCCCTTGTCTTTGGCTGAGAGACCACGATCTGATGCAGGCCCATTTTCAAGTTCATCCTCTGATCCAGATACACTAGATACCTCCAAATCATCGAACAGAGAATCGGGATCTGCTTTGTCTAAGTCATCTTCCTTGATAATAGTTTTACCAGCAATGCTCAGCTTGACCTAAAAGAATGCCAAAAAAAGAGATGCAAGAGGATCAGTAAGATGTGACATAATGATCCATGTGCATGCCTGGTGAATGAATAGTGCCGAGAGGCCGAGGCCCATGAGCCCAATCCCTGGTGAATGAATAGTGCCTCGTGATACTGTAGCACAGCTGGGGATAAGATGTCGGTTAGAGTAAAGAGAAGATTAGATGAGTCCTTACTTAGAGGTAAAGTTATTCCATCTATATAAGGATGGAGTGTGCCTATTATCGTTAAGCAATGAAAATCAATTAGTCTAATCTCTTGCCCTAATGTTCTTCTCCCCAACCTAAGTCTACATCCCTTCTCCAAGAGCCGACGTCATCCGGCTATCTTTCCCAGCGGTGGCTATCCCGTCATGGCCTCAGGTCATGACAAAGACGAACAGGAGTAGATTATCCCCTATGAAATAGCTATGTGCTTATGTTCTAGCAGAAAACATCACCATGTGCCTAAATTTTCCATGTCAAGTTTGTGGATACCAATAGACCAGATCATGGTATCCGATTACTAGAGAAAGAATGTAAACTATTAGAGATTTTTTGCCATCTCGGATTTAAAATTCTTAATTATCTTCCTACCAAGCTTAGAATTCAAGCCTTGAATTCATTACCTCTTTTTTGTAGGTATAATAAAATAAACATCTTGCTGGAGTTAGTAAAGCTTCCTTAGATTAAGGAGCCTCCCTAGCAATGTTAAATTCATCCTTAGGACCTGTTTTACTGATAGTATCAACGTTTTGGGATCCAGTGCCATGGCAATTTATATCAAGTTTCCTGCTATCAGGCTCGTGTCGTACGGTGGTTCATCTCCAATAACAAATGAAATCTTGTATGGAACAGAAACTAAATCCATTGTGCAAAAAATATAATTGAGAAATTAATCTACTGAAGTCTGAAGATATCCACCCAGTCACCCAGATCAGAACTAACAAAAGAAAACAGTTTATTATCCTAATGCAAATTAGAGGAGGAGGGTGGGCGGATAGATATACGTTGAGGCGATGGAGATCAGACTTGAAGTGCTCGCGCTGTTCCTGCAGCGACTCGAATTCAGAGGCGCAGGTGTTGCATGTCCACCTCAACCCCGGAGCCTCCGACGGCTGCGATAGAGGCGGGGCCGCCGCCGGCCGGATGGACTCGGACGGTTCCGCCGCAGAGGGGGCCGAGGAAGGGTGGGATCCGAGGAGGGAAGAAGAATCGAAGAAGTCCGCGGGGAGGTCGAAGAGCGAGCGAGGAGGCCTGCTCTCCGGCGAGGCCGCCGCCATCTGGTAGGAGGAGGAGGAGGCGGCGGCGGCGGAGGGGGTTTCCGGCGTTTCGTGGCGAGGTGTGCGGTATGTGAGGAGCCGGGTTCGCTTCGGTCTTCCAGAGGCAACTGCGCGCGCCGTTGGATCAGAAATCTGACGTCGGAGAGACAACACCTGTGTATAAACCAATTTTTGGCCCATTGTATTTGTACAGTACTCTCCAGTTAGACACTCCTACTCCCACAGTCCTACTCCAATCACCAGGGTTCACCAAATGTTAACCAGCCAAAAACTGGGTTTAGAGGTTCTCCAAAACTGTTTAAAAATCAGTGACCCCCGATAAATCGGCAAACTTTTGTTAAAAAATTTAATTCAGTTTGGTCTTTTTGAACGATTGAAAAAGAGTGCTTTCTGTTCTCGAACCAAACCAGGAAGTCTGGTTTTCGTTAAAACCAGTATGTTTTCATTGGTTTTGTAAACCCTTGATACTACTCCAAAGACATAGTAGTTCTTTTCCAAAGAAATCAATTGCAAATTATTCTTTCATCGTGATTAAGATACCGATGTGGTATCCCTTCATTTCTCGGATGTGTTGTACTTTCTCTGGCCACAAATAAATATCTTTTTGACAACGACATGGTCAACAATGCGGCTATAGGTATTACTAGCTAGAATTCAGACCAGGTGTAGTTAGACTTATAACTGCAAGTTAACAACTGCAGGTAAATATGGCCATCCCTTTTTCTCATAAATGGTTTAGATTTATTGCTACAGCAATCACATGAACAGTACTCTGTGCTATAGTATTTTTCTACAGTACCATGACCGTTCATACACTCTGTGCTACAGTATTTTTGCTACAGTGTCATGAACAGTACTACGAACGATTTATACCGTCCAGTTTACATCTAAAAATGCGCACTGCTACTGCTTATGTTGCAGCCGCTATTTGTAACTGCAGCTGATCCAAATCCAGCTAGCTAATACTCAGTGAGCTGGTGCATGAATTTGTATGAAGCAAATCAATAATCTGATCAAATGCCTATAATCTAGCAGGTGGAATGAACATGAACCATCAAGATTGATCTATCGCTCAATTCCTTTATTACGTGGAATCGAATCATACATGTAGCAAATGATTTTACTGGACCGTCATGAACCGGATCCGATTCCAGGCCGCAGCAGCAACGAGCCACTCCGCTCCTCTGCAACCTGCGGCCCATACGGAGTCAGCGCGGCCGCAACAACTGCTGCTGGAGACGGCACCGGCGAGGCGGCGACCGGTCTCTTGAGCAGGGCCAACCACTCCTCGCTGCACGCCTGGAATCCAGATCCGGTGCAGTCATAGAAGAGATTGCAAGTTTAGCAGTTGGAACCATTTTTCATCATTAGATCAAGGCAATCAACGGCTGAAACAAATGCTACAGTTATTTTAAACAGTAATTGCTATAGTACCTGCTACAGGAAGGAACTTTTCACTGTTATTTGTGAACAGTATCAAGGAAAGATCTAGGACGTTAATTTATAATTCAATGGTGTCTTTAGGACTGCATAAGTTGCAGTAGCCACTGCATGTGATCCCAATCCGCACGCCTGCACCACACTGGACCGAACCCCTCTGCCCCGGCATATGAGACCGGACAGTGCGTACCGTACTTCCGACCACGCTCCACAGGTTCGACAGGCACACGCAGGAACCAGCACTAGGTAGCCGGGGGCCACGCCCACCACCGCACCGGGGCGCGCCTCCCACCACCCAACCAAACAAAAACACCTCGGCTGCCACACGCACAGGCACACACAGAGGCAGCGGTAGCAAACTGTCAAACTAGCAATGCGTGACGATGCATTGGGAACAAACCGAGGCGTGATTACGAGAAAAAGGTTACAGACAGTGCACCGGCATAATCCTCGGAGATAACAATGAGATCAAGTAGCGCGCGTGGTGCCGGTGGTGGTGTGGGCGAGGAGCACTTTGCTGGCGGAGGAGAAACCGAGGTGCGACAGCGATGGCGCGCTGGTGGCGAGGGTGGCGACGGTGTGGAGTGCCGGCCGGACCGGGAGATATGTGGGAGCGACTGCTGCAGAGGCTTCCATAGGCTTTCTTGAACGGCCGCGGCCACGGTGGACGTGCCGCTCGCAATACTTGTGCCCCGGCACCACGTCGCGCGAGCACCGCCACTTCTTGCCGTCCGTGCGCCGGCACCGCCCCGGCTCCGGCTCCATGCTGCTCCTGTAGTCGAAGCACAGGCTCCCCAGGCCCGTCACTGCACACGGAATGACCAACGACATTGGCAGCGAAACAAATCAACACAACAAGCAAGAGCATATGCAAACGACGACACGACGAACAAGTGAAGAACAAGCTGAACGAATACAATGGCGCCTTGCTACTAGTAGCATGCGTACGTACGGGAGGGAAAGCTTTGCGGGCCGAACGAGGAGGCGGCGGCGATGCTCTTCCATATGGGCAGCACGAGGTGAACCGGCACAGGCGCGCCGGCGGCGAAGTAGCGGTAGATGAGCACCTGCTGCTCCAGCTCCTGCCGCTGCATGAACGTCAGCGCCGACGGCGGCCGCGCCTCCCGCACGGTGGCCGCAGACGCTTCCGCGTCGCTCCCACTGCTGTCGCTGCCGCTGCCGCCCAGACCGAGACCCAGCCCAAGAACCAGCGGCGACGGCGCTGCCATCGTCACCACGCCTGCGTGCATGCCCAAACGACGCCACCAAAAGCTAATGAGTTGGTCGAAACAGCAATGCACGAATCATATATGAAGAGCGCGCGGCACGTCTCTTACCGTCGGTTGGATCGGTGCCGGAGAGACGAGGAAGCTTGGACGGCGGCGGCGGCGGCAAGTAGACTTGCCTTCCCTCGGCCAACATATCTGTGGAGTTCAGTCTTCACTCTTCAGTGTAAGCTGCAGGTTTGAATACACTGATGCTAGTGATGAAAATGCAGCGTGCAGGTCGTTGGGATAAGGAAGGGATGGGATATGTTGAGTGTCGACGTTGTCGCTGCTTATCGGTGTCAGTGGGACACCGGACACATACTCCTGCGGCTGCTTGAATACTGTTCATTTAACGATTCCGAAGGGATGCAGTAACTGAAGGCCTGCTGCCTGCATGCCTACAGGGCTGAGGTGAGGACCAAATGAAATATTGTGCACATTGACCACGGTAGCCGGAGCTGACGCAAGTAAAATCTTTCAGCTTGAATGGGCTGTTTTATTCGGTTGCACATTTTGAGTCCTAGGGTTCGGATGAAATATCCGGATGCTGTTTGATTGGGCTGTGCACAGAAACGGCCAACCCGGCCTGAGTCGACATGCCATGTGTTCCTTCATGTAGGAGCACTCCCTCCATCTTGCGTCGGTACTCGGTACGACGTGAACTCGCCGATGCGTCGTAAACTCGTAATGCAAAGGCAGCTAGCAAAGAGCATGAGCATCCCAGGCGATGAGACGGCGTACGGCGTCCCACTCCATCCGGCAAAACCAACGCGAGGCGCGAACGCACCCCCGCGAGCGCATCCCCCGCTAGTACGTACGAGTACGACCACAGCGTACTCCAGATCGTGCATGTAGGCGTGCATGTAGGCGTCGTACGTAACGTATGTGGCGCGTGTACGCATGTGTCACGAGAACTCCAGATCTGTACGAGCGCCTGCCTGTGAGATGAGATGTAACATGTATGGGACCGTGCTCGGTCAACAAAAACACGTCCCACGCCACCCCGGCCCGGCCCTGTACGCTTCCTGCCAGGCTGCCATGGCAGATTCCCCACGGTACTTGTCTCTACTGTACATCGCAGCACCGGATGGGGCAATGGTACGAGTACGACGACTTGCGACGTGCTGGCCGTCATCACCGGCGCCGGCTGGGGCAAGTGCGGAGGCGGCGAATGCAACCAGGAAGTAGTAGGAACGAGTGGAGGCTACCGCCTGCAGTTCCCACATGCCCACCTGGTCTCCTCTCAACGATCTTTTTTTGCGGGGAACATGTTAACCATATTCATTGTTCGAACTCCTGTAAAAATAAAAATAAAAACTAGAGGCGCACAAACTAAATAAGGCTCTGAAATTAGAGGTGACACTCCGAACCCTCCAACGCACGGACCAGTGCCCTGCAGTACATATTGAGAGTTTGGCCCATGACTAGATGACACACTTGGAACAAGTCTAATTTTCCTTCCTCCTGTTGCCTATGGTTGAATCGTCTCCCTCAATTGTAAAACAGGGTATAATACATCCTCCATATTTGAAAACCAGTGCAAATCGATTTCTTCAGTGGTTTTGAAAGAGTCCTACGTGAGCCCACATATCGGCGAAAAGATAAATAACAACCATGTATGTCAATCATCCTAATCTCTTTTCCTTTTTCCTCGCCTCTCTCTCCTCTCTCTCTCTTCCATGAGACGACAACGCATGGGCACTGTCCTCGACTGGAACTACCTCCGCGGCTCCGCCACTACACCTTCTCTTCGGCAGCGGGATACGGCCTCTCCTGCGCCGTCGTCACCGCTCGCCTCCTCACTGCTATGGCGAAGGTCTCGTGGCTGCATTCCGCCATCAACACTGCACCATGGTTGTGCCACAATTGCGGATTTAAGGGGTGTCCGCAACACGGCCCCGCAGCTTCTCAACGGTCTCCTTGTTGCCTTCTCCGAGTAGGTAGATGACTTGACATGGTACTCATGTGTCATAAACATTGAAATTGTAGAAATGTTCGGTCGATGGAGATTTGTGTTGTGGTTTAGGGGCCTTTACGATAGGTGGTGATGGATGTGAAGTGGGAAGCGGAGCCGCGGAGGGAGCTCCTGAAGGATTGCCTCAAGGTGGAAGCCAAGGACTCGGAGGGTTTGCTTGTCGTTGCCAAAGATCTCTTATCTGGGTCCGCTAGGACTTCTTCACGCCACAACGAACTTTGAGCCACAGAGCCGCGCGAGTGTGAGGCAGGGGAGGGACCGACGGGCGGGAGGACGCGGTTGTGAGCAATTCAACATAATACTTGAACCAAAAATAAAGATTGCAAATCATGACAATGTAAACGTAAACCATAGAAATATTATTCTCGACCATATGGATACGCAGAATAAACATGCTATAGGTGTAAACCATAGAAACAAGCATGTCTAATTTACTTGCGCATATAAACAGAATCAACATAAAAGGAAGATAAGAGGAGAATAACATAGGTTGATGCAATAGTGGTTGCAATGGTAGCAGAAGGAGAATCATTGTTGTTCCCTCCGTTGCCTTTGCTGTTCTCGCCACCCACCATGATGAAGAGGATGTAGTCAATGTTGTCGTACTCAAGCACAAACAAGCAGTTGCACGATGCGCTCCCAAAAGCCTGGTTCGCCTCCTCCTCTCGATGCAATATCAAGGAGGCATATTCTCCCAGCGAGTGTGCACGTACTCGTCGGGATGGGATCACCATAGCAGCAATAGAAATGGAAGTGGATGAAAAAGGAGTGCATTCTCTCACGTGGGAGATCGAATCAATTCTCCTTTTATAGGAGAAAAGGAAGACGAGGGGGAAAGGATTCATTGAAGATACGGAATTGCTAAAGCTCTGTCGACAGAAAATCCAACCTCAAATCTTGCAAATTTTGGATCACTGGATGTGCTTCACGATTCGTGCTCTTCTTCTCAACTCCGGCGACCACCTCTTCTTCTCTGGCGCCGGCGAACCTAAACTCCGGTAGAGGGCCGACGAATTAGGGTCCCGGGGTGGGGTGGGGTGGGGTGGGGGTAGGAGGGGAAGGGGGAGGGGGAAGAGGGGGGAGTCCGCCGGCTTTAGAGGGATAGCCGTGAGAGGCGGCAGTCCGGCGGTGGGCCGCGGATCGGGCGGGCGGCGAGGCGGCAGCGGCGCCGCCGAAGCCGCGGGGCTGGAGGATGGCGGCGGGCCGGTGTAGGCGGCGGGGGCAAAGCGGAAAGAGTGGTAGGAGGAGGCGGCCGGTGGTGGCGCCCCGTCGCCGGCGACGGGGAAGACGACGGACAACTCGCCGCCGCCAGCTTGAGGCAAAGGAGAGGAGAGGGAGGGGGCCGGCCGGGGGGGCCTCGCCGACACCGTTGACACCCTTTGGCCAGCCAGCGAGGCCGGGCGAAGGCGCGCTGGGGCGGCGGCGGTGGTGGCGGAGGCGGGTGGAAGCGCTAAGGAGCGGCGGCGGCGTGAGGAATCAGGAGAGGAGAGAGGATTTTTAGGGTTTGGTTGCCTACACGAATCTTAAAGCAATCGGGTGGTCCAAAATTTGCAAGATTTTTGAGGGGGTTTTCTGTCAAATAATTTATAGACAGTCCCTTGAAGATAACCGATTGCCATCAACCAGCCATCCATCATCCTTTACGGGTGTGTTTGGTTTGGGGACCAAGTGGGATGGGTTAGACCATCCCAGTTTTTTAGGATGGGATGATTCCAGTTGTGTGTTTGGTTCGTGGTATGGGATGGTTATAGTTTTTTGTTTGGTAGAAGGGATTGAGGTGGGATGGGATGGACAGTGTTTCACGTACCGTTAGGTCCGTTTGCTCCTAGCGGCTAGGTTGGAGCGAGTGGTGAGAATGGGGACGGAGGAGCTCGTCGGTGCGAGCGGAGGAGAGGCGGAGGCGGGCGCGGACGAGCGGCGGCGGTCACGGAGACGAGGCGATGCGCGGACGAGTGGCGGTGGCCGGTCACGACGAGGCGATGCGAGGCGTAGCGACGGGCGGCCGGTCCTGGAGGTGACGAGGCGTGGACAAGCAACAACGGCCAGTCGCGGAGCGGATCGGACGAGCGGCGGCGGTCGCGGAGACGAGCGATGCGCGGACGAGTGCGGCACCGGTCGTGGACGAGGCGATGCGAGGCATAGACGAGCGGCAGCCAGTCCCGGAGCGACGAGCGCGGACGAGCAACAACGGTCGATCGCGGACGAGACGACGGTCGGTCACGGAGGCGGATGCGGACGAGGCGGCAGCGGTCGCGGATGTGGCGGCGGCAGTCACGGAGGTGAAGGGAGCAGGCGGAGGAAGACGGAGCAGCGCCGGGGGTGGGAGCAGGCGGAGGAGGGACGGGCGGGCGCCATGGCGGCGCCGCGGCGGAGCCGAGCGAGAGGCTGCGGGAGCTGACGACGAGCGGCGGCGGTCGGTCGCGGAGGCGGTTGCGGACGAGGCGACGGCCGGTCGTGGAGGCGGAGGTCGGACGCGGACGAGGCAGTGGCGGTCGCGGAGGTCGAGGGAGCAGGCGGAGGAGGACGGAGCAGCGCTGAGGAAGGGAGCAGGCGGAGAAGGGACGGGCGGCCATGGCGGCACCGCAGCGGAGCCGAGCAGGAGGCTGCGGGAGCTGACGCCGTTCTCTCCGTCGAAGTGGGATGGATTGGTCTGGCCGATTTTAGCGGACCGTTTCGTCCCGGATCTGAGAGGAATATTCCTCTCCAGGGACCATCCCATCCCACTCACCTCTCAACCAAACACCCCTAAAAGTGGGTTCATCCCATCCCATCCCATCTCATCATATCCTTGCAACCAAACACTACCTACTATACCACCATGAAACAACCATCAATTTGATATAATCAACATTAGCTACCATTTGATTAATTATTGATTAATCATTGGATTAATTCTCAAAAAACTCTTCATCTTTACCATTGAGTTACGATAACTCATAAGAAGATGGATACACATAACTCCGCGCATAATGAGCCTTGGATTTATTTGATTTAATCGATATAAATAGATCAACCACCCAATTAAATCTAATGATTAGATGTCGCGACATCCCTCTCTGATGTCAGGCTTGTCTCCACGGCGTCACCACCGAGAAACATCATAAGAATGGCAGTGGCACTATGGGTGGCGTGTGGGAAAGGAGCTTGCCAGCCGGCTACAGTGCGCACATGGGAGAACCTGGCTGGCTTCATCACGCGTATAGATGGCCAAAAGGCCCGAGGCCCGACGGCCCGGCCCAAGCACGGCACGGCCCGTGCCGGTCCGGCCCGACCACCGGGCCATGCCTGGGCCTCTCCGCCGGCACGTTGGGCGGACACGGCACGGCCGGGCCGGCACGGCACGATGGGCCGCATGCTAGGCCCGACACATAAACAATAGGGAGTAAAAATAGACATATTATATGCCATGCTCGAAAGAATAGGGATGTAAAATAGACTTATTTTACCTATATATATGTCAGCCCAAAGAGGAGGGATGAAAAATAGATTATTTTCAATATATATATGTCACAGCCCAAAGTGGAGGGACGGAAAATAGACTTATTTTCGCTATATTATGTCACAGCCCAAAGAGGAGGGACGAAAACTAGACTTATTTAAAAAAAAGGCTCGATGGGCCACCCGCGCCTTCAGGCCGGCCCGACGGCTGGTGGGCCGTGCCTAGGCGGGAGGCGCAGCCCATGGGCCGGCACGAAGTGCCGATCGGGCCATGCCTGGGCCGTGCTGTGTCGGGCGGGCCTTTTGGCCATCTATAATCACATGTGAGAGAAGCTCGTCGGCCAGCGGCGCATACGGGGAAAACTTGGCCGGCTTCAACGCGCACGGAAGGAGAAGCTCGTCGGCTGGCCGCCCCCACGATGCTAGATGCTGCCGTCGCCTAGCGTGCGTGAGAGAGAAAGAACTAGAAAGCGAGAGTGGGGAGAGAGGTGAGGAAAAAAAATGTGATTAGGATGACTGACATGTGGGGTTGTTTATTTTTTTTCTCGCTGACATGTCGATCCTATCACATAGTACGAAACTGCTTATGAAACCATGAAGGAGTCCATTTGTACCTGTTTGTAAAGATGAGGGAGATGATTCAACCCGTGGCAATAGAGGAGGGAGGTAAAATAGACTTATTCCGACACACTTGGATGGCAGGAGCCCATTTCCTGGACAGCGCACGATGCGTGATACAGAAATGGACCAACTAAACAAGTCGCACGTAGACGAGATGTTTTTTTCCGTTTTACCACCGACAGCCGAGTAGCCGATGGCCCCGCAAAGTCCCGTCCCGTATCCCGCTCGGTCGCTCCCACCGACAATCGGATGGTCCTACCAGACACTCGTCGATCGTCACTATTCACTGGTCAGCGGTATCCGTGCCTGCAGTCCTGCAGAAATTTGTTTTCGGCTTCCTTTGACTCCTTGCACTGTATGGATGATTATGGATATATGGTGATGTAAACTGGAAACTGGACCTTGGTAACTCTCCAGACCACGGATATTGGATATCTCAAAGATCTCCAGTACACCATCTCTCTTCTTTTCTATCCAATCTCACAGACTCAAGCCCGGCCTGACATGGATATTGGACCGTATTTAATCGGGCCCAGCTAGGGCCTCATGGTTTGCCCTATAGCTTATAAACTTTAAAACTTGATTTTAAATTTAATTCTTTTTCAATATAGTTTTTTTTTCAACTTTGGCTTTTCAATCACTGAGAACATATATATAAAAGTTTTACTCACATACCATTTTTCTAATCGCTAATAAGCCGTTATGACTTATAATAAGACTAGACCAACCGATTGGGAACCTATAGGGATGGCAATTCCCCCCGCGGGGCCGGGTCCCCTGCGGGGACCCGCCCCTACGGGGGCGGGGGCGGGTGGATTTTCTGACCCACGGGGAGTCGGGGCCGGGGCCCCGCAATTGTGCGGGTAAGGGGGCGGGGGAGGTATTTCACCCGCGGGTAACCCGCGGGGCCCCGAGGGGTGCATATTAGACTTTTAAATCTAGTGCCAACCCTAAACACTACCGCAAAATGTAATATGGCCCATTAGGCCCGTGAAAACCCTAACCTGATGCCCACCACATCGCTCCTCAGTCCTCACTCCCAGCCGCCGACACCAATGCCCCCAGGCCCCAGCGCTGTGCGCGTGCGCCCCTCCCTAGCAGGCGGCAGCGGCAGCACGACCCTCCCCTCCGGTCGCCCTCTCCCCCGTCCTATCCCCTCCTTTCCCCTCTCTTCCGGCGGTGGAAAGGCACGGCGGCACGGCGGCCACGCACAGGCACGGCAGCACGGCGACGGTGCACAGGCATGGCGGCCACGCACAGGCGCGTCGGCACGGCGGCCACGCATCGCCGCAGAGGTGTGACGGCGGCGCACCGGCGCAGCACGCAAGCTGAGAGCTTCTCTGAGACGCACGTCAAGAGAAGGATTTAGAAACTCTAAGAGGTATTTCTTGATTTATATTTCTGTGGTTCTTCCATCCCTAATTTCCGATCTAATGCCATCCCTAATTAGAACATGATTTAGAGTGAATTGTTGTGGATCAGTGGTTGAACTTGTGGTGAATTGTTTTTGCTGAATTTTGATGATGCTATTCAGTATTCAAGTGAAGTGTTCATGCTATTTTTGGTCTAAATCGATGGAGTTGCTAATCACTGCGGGGCCCCGGTCGGGTTGCGGGGCCCCGCAGGGGTCGGGGGCGGGGGATGATTTCCACCCGCATGTCCACTCGGGGCCGGGGGCGGGTGGAGAGTTCGGGGGTCGGGGGCGGGGCCGTTACAGCCCAACCCGCCCCCGCCCCGCCCCGTTGCCATCCCTAGGAACCTAGACATGTTGTTCTTAATAACTACTCTCTCCGTTTTATAATGTAAGACTTTCTAGTATTATTCATATTCATATGAATGTTAATAAATCTAGACATATATACATATCTAAATTTATTGACATCTATATGAATACGGGCAATGTTAGAAATACTTACATTATGAAACGGAGGAAGTATATCACGAATAGACATCTCATGAAATATATTGCCTATATAGTGGAATCACATAATTATTGTTTTAATTATTTGCAAAACAACTATATTGATTGTACGAATTGAATCTTATCCTTTGGAACGCAAGAATTAAATGTCACAATATATGCAATCCCACAAGAACTAAAAACACCGGAATTTTTTCGAATATGGGTAGTTTGGATATTCGGTACATTATGTATGATATATATATATATATATATATATATATATATATATATATATATATATATATATATATATATTATAATAGAATTGAGAAGATAGAAAAAGAAGAGAGATGGTGTACTGGAGGTCTCAAAAGAGAAAAAGGTCATGAGATTTTTTTTTGAAGATAATAGAACATAATCTCGGCCTTTGCTCAAAGAGTTACAACCAATTATTACACCAATGCAACAAAAACTCACACCTGAATAAATAAAAGCACACACAAACTAATAAAAACTCTCACATCATAACAAGATCACCAAAATTATTGAATTGTACTTGTGAATCTCCATCCAAAGTTAGCGAACAGTTGCATAACCATTGACTTAAGATTACGACATGCAGCTTTCACTGACTTGATTTCTTCATCGCACTTTAGTAGTTAAGCTCAGGACTGGAGCCAGTATGTTGCTCTGAAAAGAACCAGCATATAGGACATAGATGGTGATTTATCAAAAACCATATCATTTCTACACAACCATATAGCCCAACATATAGCGGATGCTCCAACAAGAATAAATTTGGTAGATTTTTTATCAACCCCCACAAGCCAATTCTCAAAAATATGAGATATACTATAATGAGTATATAAACCAGTAGTAAACTGTAGAACTCTCCAAAGAAATTTTGTACAGTAACACTCCACGAATAAATGTTGAATAGTCTTATTTCGAAGGCCATGAGATTTGAGCTCATGTTTTAGATCCTCCAAAAAAAAGTGAAGGAAAAAATGGTTCCTATGGAAAATTTTCTGTTCATAGTTTTAAATTCTACAAATTATCTATTAAGATACCTTACTGTGAATGAGCCTGCACTATTCATGATGCCATAAGTTAGCTCTACTCTTTAAGTTATCCTTTGGGGATTCAATTTCTATTGGATTTGGCACTATTATTCATCCATTTGAAATGATGGATTGGAACATAGTAAAAGGAGATCTCTAGTATAATAATAGAGGAAAATTTTCCTTTGCCATTGATTCCATTGCGATAGGAACATCTACTATCTTTTTTCCCCTTTTCTTTGCTAAGATTAATGAAACTGTACATTAACCAAAGTTGAGGATATTTTGACCAACGAAATTTTTATCGTCGTTTTGTAATAATCTCGTGATAACTAAATTCCTACGGTCCAAACTACGCACCTTCTATTTCATGTGTTTTTCAATCATCTATTTATTTACATGTACATTCTTATGTTGGTTACTATGTTTTTTTTTCTATTTGTGTGATTTTTCATTCCCCTTTTGAAAGGAGCCATAAACATTTGTAGCTCAAACTGTGTTCTACGCATAACATAATCATAAATTGTAAGATTCCCTTGGATGGGTTTAGGTCATTCTCTAAGTAACCTTAACCATTAATCTTATTTAATCAAAGGATTTCGGATCTATTTGTACTACTGTAGATCTATTTGTAATACCGCTCTATAAGTTAATGGTAGTAGAAATGTGGATAAATATTATTGTTAAAAAAATGGTGCGGTGGTATAATCATCATTTAGAAGTGACTAAACCCATTTTCTTCTTTTTTTTTTGGGCTTTATCTATAGAATATAAGCAATACCACCGCGATGACCTAGATCGATTCAGACAGAAAATAAAACATAAATGATAAAGTTACCCCAGTAAATTACTAATTAACCCTTAATAATAAATGGTTCGGATTATTTTTCTTATTAGTATAATAATATTAGTAGAGAGTACCAGGTATTTTCGACTAACATCATAAAACAATACTACAACGAAAACAAACCTGTTTAAACTTTCACCATCCTTATTATTGGTATGACTAGTTCAATCCTCTAATTATAGTGCAAAATAAAACGCTGTGCCTCAATTTAATAATTATAGCTTACCAACAAAAACGGGGAGTTAATGTCGTACCAACATAACCTAAATATATGTGGCCATTCTCATAGATACTCTTAGACCATACTACTGGATTTTTAGCATATCGAGTATTCGATTAAAACTCTCAATCATGTGTGGTTAACACAAACGTGTTAGGCATGAAAACACCAGCACTCCATAGTCCACAGCACTGAGCACGCGAGCCAACAAGAGCACCCCACCGCCGCACAGAAAATCATCACAACCATCGAGGCTGCAGCACATGTCCAGGCTTTAGTGCTGCACACTCCAGTACTCCATCCAGCACCTAACCATGGTCACGGCACAAACTCAACTTCTCTTTTTCTTTGAAGACTCAACCCAACACCTGAACCCCTCCAAGACCAAAGTCCAACAGGCCAAAAACCCACGCCCAGAAAAAGCTAAAACCCCAACACGGCGCACACTACTCTCCTTCCTCTCCCCACCGTGTCACACCACACCACACAACACCACCACCGCCGCCATGGCCGCCACCGACCGCCGCCTGCTCTTCCTCCTGGCCGCCTCCCTCGCCGTCGCGGCGGTGAGCTCCCACAACATCACGGACATCCTCGACGGCTACCCGGAGTACTCGCTGTACAACAGCTACCTCTCCCAGACCAAGGTGTGCGACGAGATCAACAGCCGGAGCACGGTCACCTGCCTCGTGCTCACCAACGGCGCCATGTCCTCCCTCGTCTCCAACCTCTCCCTCGCCGACATCAAGAACGCGCTCCGCCTCCTCACCCTCCTCGACTACTACGACACCAAGAAGCTGCACTCCCTCAGCGACGGCTCCGAGCTCACCACCACGCTGTACCAGACCACCGGCGACGCCTCCGGTAACATGGGCCACGTCAACATCACCAACCTGCGCGGCGGCAAGGTTGGGTTCGCCTCCGCCGCGCCCGGCTCCAAGTTCCAGGCCACCTACACCAAGTCCGTCAAGCAGGAGCCGTACAACCTCTCCGTTCTTGAGGTCTCCGACCCCATCACCTTCCCCGGCCTCTTCGACTCCCCGTCGGCCGCGTCGACCAACCTCACCGCGCTTCTTGAGAAGGCCGGGTGCAAGCAGTTCGCGCGGCTCATCGTGTCGTCCGGGGTGATGAAGATGTACCAGGCGGCCATGGACAAGGCGCTGACGCTGTTCGCGCCCAACGACGACGCGTTCCAGGCCAAGGGCCTGCCGGATCTGAGCAAGCTGACCAGCGCCGAGCTGGTGACGCTTCTGCAGTACCACGCCTTGCCGCAGTACGCGCCCAAGGCGTCGCTCAAGACCATCAAGGGCCACATCCAGACCCTGGCCTCCACCGGAGCGGGTAAGTACGACCTCTCCGTCGTCACTAAGGGCGACGACGTGTCCATGGACACCGGCATGGACAAGTCCCGCGTCGCGTCCACCGTGCTGGACGACACCCCGACGGTTATCCACACGGTGGACAGCGTGCTGCTGCCGCCAGAGCTCTTCGGTGGCGCACCTTCCCCCGCGCCGGCGCCCGGACCGGCAAGCGATGTGCCAGCCGCTTCTCCCGCGCCAGAAGGCTCCTCGCCGGCGCCCTCCCCCAAGGCGGCGGGCAAGAAGAAAAAGAAGGGCAAGTCGCCTTCCCATTCCCCACCCGCGCCTCCGGCCGACACGCCTGACATGTCGCCCGCCGACGCGCCCGCGGGAGAAGAGGCTGCAGACAAAGCCGAGAAGAAGAACGGCGCCACCGCGGCGGCCACGAGCGTTGCGGCCACTGTGGCCTCCGCCGCCGCTCTGCTCGCCGCGTCGTTCTTGTGAGCGTCAGGTGTTCGACGTTGAGCTCTCGTTGTTCCCCCCTGGGCATGCATGGTGTGATGCAGTCCGGTGTTCGCTTCTGAGCTCGTGGGCTCCATGGATAATCTCATCCTGAAGTTGTGTTCTTCTCTTCCTGGTTGGTAGTACTCGGTAGTTAGATAGGATTTGAATGATTGGATCCTCAGGTGGAGAACGGTGATTGTGATGCCTATTTTGTTAGAGCTCGGAACCATGTTTTGTTTTTCTCTTGGATTTGTTCTTGTGATTGTTATGCCTTGTTCTTGCTCTGCTTGGTTGCATACTTGCATTGGGGCTTTCTGTTTGTTCTTGGTTGCCCACTAGTTATCTGCATTCTGCAACTCGTTATTAGAAAAAAAAACTATCTGCAATTCCATTTCACAGCGACACGGTAGGTAGTAGTAGTGCGTTGCACATTCTAGATTCAACACCAGTCTCCCCTCAGTAATCCCCTAACTACAGCTGGCACTGTTGCACCATGTTGTGTTCTTCATTTCTTTGTTAAGTGAAGAAGTACAGTGCTAGGCCCACCGAATTAAGGATGCACTTGTAGTAGATTGTGACCACTTAAGCCCACACACGTCTAGTCATTGTTTGTTCGGGGACTAAAGCCAAAATTTCAGCTCTTTCTTGCTTGCACCGGCCTGAAGTTTGGACGGGCCAAGTTCGAGTTCACAACTTACAAATCAGAACATTTTCGATGCAAATTCACCTCAAAGCTAGTACACAACATTTTGAACGCACGGTACAGCGTACGCGACAGTAACTTCCCTGGTTGCGCATCATGTGATCCTGCACCGAGCCTGACATTGCGGACCCACCCCCTTGCCTTTTTCCCGTGTTACGTCATTATTGCTCGTATCGCGGGCTAGGCGACGCAAATGGGTGAGATGAGATGATCAGAGAGCGTGGTCCCGAGAGTCGACTACTAGGGGGGGAAGAGGAGGAAAGTTTGCAGCCGGATGACGATGCCCATGGTGGTCTTGGCCCATATTCGGACGCCGGGGGATGCCCTGCCTGCGCGGTGCGCGGCGCGGCGTTTGCACGCTTCTTGGCTGGATTGCAATGGCTGCATCCCGCTTTTCAGAAGTTCGCGTCCCCCTTTCTCTCAACTCCAGGATAATAAAGCGGCTACGCCTAGTCATCATCTTCCTCGCTGTTACGTACTACTACTACTACGCGGGTGCCAAACCGCCAAACGGCACGCAACATCTCACACAAAAACAGGCGCGCCCTTCTCGCTGGGCTCGTTGCGTTTTCGTCCATATATTTCGTCGTCCGGTGATCCCTTTGCCAAACCTGAAGGAGCCAAAACAAACGGTCAATGAGCGAGATGGTCCTACTCCTACAACTGCACGGTCAGTTTTGGGGGGTTGTTTTGTGATTTCACAAGGTGGAGTGTGGACGGTGCTTGAACCGAAGAGTACTGCACTACTGCTGTTTGTGTCGGTTGTGGTGGGGTTCACTAGACCTTTGGTTCAGATGGCCGTGTGTGATTGTTTTATCTCCACTGAGATGAACAGCTTGACGTCCCAGAACACTGAAACTATACTAGTAGTCAATTTAACTGCATTTCTTACTATGTAGTGTCAATGTGTCATCATCAGGTCACAAGTATTTGAGACTTAAAAACTGCAGATTCAATAGTGCTCGTGGGTTCTTATACGTGTTCCACGTGGAAAGAATAGACTAAATTCCATTCTCCAGTTCTTCAGTAGAAAGCTTCTCCATCTAAGAAAGACTAATCACACTTGCACCTGGGTCTGTTTCTATTTGTCGGCTGCGTTAACTCAGGACTAGTACCTAGTGGAATGGGAACAAAGCGCTGTCTGCCATGTGAGAGTGGAGTCCTGCACAAGCGATTTTGCAAGATGGGCCTGAAATGCTCGGTAACAAGCTTAAGGAACAATATCAGTAAACGCAGTTGCCTTTGCATAATACCAGTACGATAGTACTCCATGCTACTGACCAGTTAGCACTGAATCACTGATGCATAGTTGCATACCGTACATGCTGATTACTACACCATTTCTCTCTTTGGACGGCATTTCATCGTGTTCTTTTGCTCGATCTGCTAGACTGCAGCTGTGAGTGAGTAGGTCTGTGACTGCGAGACTACCACTTGATCTGCTCGTGATGGATCCTCTGAATTCTGATGAATCGTGCGATGATGGGGACGTAGAAAGGAGCCGATGAGCATGCATCAGACGGCTATGGATTGAGGACGACCTGTCTCGAGCTGGAACCGCTTTCGATGGTGCGTGAGGAGGGAGAGATCATTGCAGGCTCGGAAAGCTGGAGTGCTGGGTACTAGCTCCGCTCGGGAATGAACGGCCTTTCTGCAGACGAACCATTCCTTCCTTGGAGCTGCCTCGTACAGAGATTCGCAGCAGCAAAGCCAAGCGAAACGCTGCAACCGCACTACTGTCCGGGGTAAAATCGTTGGTGCTTGATGTGATTTCAGTGCTTTTCTTCGCTGCATTTCGCGTCCGAATCGAACATCCGAATCGCCGGCTCTGCTCCGCCTCGACTTGTCGCCAAGTTTGGTTGATTTCGGACTTCGGTGTGTTCAAAATCGCACGCGGCTATAAGTTTGGGTCAAAGGGAGTTGTAGGCTTTAGGCCCAGGAAGAGGAGCTTAATCTCGTAGGCTTGAAGCCCAGTACAAACAGGGTACTGAAACGGGCCGAAATCGTACTGAAACACTACAAAGTCCAAAATATATGAATACCGAAAATTCTCTACAAGGATCTTTAAAACAACAGGAGTCTAAGGTGGCATTTGAGTTCTTTTTTTTTTTAAATAAGCGCTCAAACTGGTGTCATCATATCTAACCTTGTTTTAAAACAACGATGACTATAATCAGGTCACTGGATCATTATTTGCTGTCCTCCTACAACAACAGGGGCTTGAAGAGGATATAGAGAACACGCATCTCTTGTTGAAGTAATCACACCAATGAACAAAGACGTAGTAATATATAAGATGTAGCTATATTTTTTAGAATTTTTTTATACAATCATACAAAATACGGGCCCCCATGTCAGTGCATGCGGTAACTCCCTGGACCGGTTGTGAATTCTAATGCAGTGATGAGGAATGAAAACAGATCGAATACGGTCGAAAACTAGCTCTATCATATTTATTTTTTATAATTTTTTGGGAATCGAAATCGGAATCGGAAACCCGGATATGAAAACGAAATCGAATATTATCGAATACAAATACGGAGCGAATACGAAGCAAAACGAATACGGTGACGAATATTAATCGGAATATAAAAACCCCTCACTACTACACAAACGATTTTTGTGTACGAGACCCTATAATTTTTGCAAAAGGACCACAACTTGCCGTGTTGGCATTTTCGCATACGACTCCTTAAGACGCCAAAATGAGCTCATTTTTGCATGCGGACCACTTAAGAGCCCGCATGGAAAAATCAAATTTTCCATACGGGTGTCTTGAAGAGCCATATGCGAAAATAAAATTTTAAAAATTGAAACTAGTTTATCTCACTCGTATGTACTCCAAATTGGATGATTCTTTTCCTAAATTGCTATTATTTTGGCTATTTTTTCTCGTGACTTTGTTTTATCAATTCAAAATTTGAATTTCAAAACTTCAAATGATATTTTGAAGTAGTAAATAATTTAAGCTGAAAAAGTCATGAACATAAAAGTTGTAGAACTCATCAAGGCATACAACTTTTATTTTGGTTATTTCTTCATCCGACAAAGCGATAGTAACAATGTTCATAAAATTTACATATCTCTCTTATAGTTTATAAAACCAAATGAGATATATGTAAATTTTATGAACAATGTTACTATCACTTTGTTGGATGAAGAAATGGAGCAAAATAAAAGTTATAGGTCTTGATGAGTTATACAATTTTGTTGTTGATGACTTTTTCAGTTGAAATCATTTAGTATTTGAAAATATTGTTTGAAGTTGTCATATTTTCAAATTCAAATTCAAACTGTTCAAACAAAGTCATCTAGAAAAATAACCGAAATAAAAGTTGTAGATCTTGATAAGTTATACAACTTTGTTTTTGACAACTTTTCCATTTGAAATCATTTACTACCCGAAGATATTTTAAAATTCAAAATTTATATAGTTCAATGAAACTCAGATGGAAAAATGACCAAAATAAAATTGGTACTACCTCCGTCCCAAAATAAGTGCAGTTGTAGGGATCCGTGTTCAACGTTTGACCGTTCATCTTATTTGAAAAATTTATAAAAAAAACTAAAATAAAAATAGTCATCCATAAAATACTATTCATGTTTTATCATCTAATAACAATAAAAATACTAATCACAAAAAAATTTCAAATAAGACGAACGATCAAACGTTGGACATGAATAGTGCAAATCTGCACTTATTTTGGGACGGAGGGAGTAGATCTTAATGAGTTCTACAACTTTGTTTTTGACAACTTTTTCATATGAGTTCATTTAGTATCATAAAATTCAATTCGAAATTCATCTTTGCCAAGAAGTCTGATTTGCCTCCTCCTGGGTTGGATTGGCTTATGGGCTATGACAGCCTTATGTGTAAGACGGATATCCGATGGAAAAATACTGGATAATATCCGACGGATATCACCTATATCATATTTGTTTTCATATCCGAAAAAAAAATCGAATTCGAAAATTTCCGGATATATCCAACCGAAACTATCCGAATCCAAAAAAGGTCCGGTCAGACGGAAATTATCCAAATCACTTTCAACCCTAGCAGTGATGGTTCGCCGTGGAGATTGAAGGCTACTCCATCTGTTCAGAAATATAAGATGTATTCTGATTGTCCAATTTTGGGCTTTGACTAACTATTAATTAGATAACGCTTATTCATATGCTTATCCAAATCACTTATTAGTAAATAAAAAATTAGTTGTGAGTAAAACTTATATATGCGTGTCCTTAATAACCCAAAAGCAAATGTTATAAAATAAACTACGATGAAAAAACCAAATTCAAAATTTAGTTTTAAAATTCAAATTTTGGCTTATAAGTATAAGTATAAGTGTAACAATGAGGCCCTTTACTTATGATCAAGATTTTGTAACCGTAAGAGAAATTTACGATCATTTAGACAGTCAAAACACATCATATGTTTTCGGAAAATTTACAAAAACCACATCAAAAGTTACTTGAAGTTTGACATTCCACCCCACAAATCATTATGTTGCAAATGCCAACCCCTACTCGGTTTTGTTGTAAAACAACCCAGTGCACACATATTTAACTGAATCAATATATTTGCATAAATCGTGAGGCGTCAATATGGTCGTACCAAAGCTAGGAGTATAGTCTTGACTTTTTTAAAAAGAATCTACAAATAAAATTGCTGATGAAAGCTCAAACGTTGTTGCACTGAGTTTCTCTATGTGTAGTAAGAAATTCAGTGAAATATGAAGAATGAATTTCATACAAGCACTTGGACAAGATTGAGTCGGCTACCTTAGCCTATAGAGCCTACATTAGTGATAACATACTCATTCGGTTAAGCACATGCATATTAGGGTGGTTTTTACAACAAAACCATATATAGGATGATCATTCGCAACAACATAACTTATGTAGTGGAATGTCAATCTTATGTGATGGTTTTTGTAATTTTTCTATATTTTTTAACGGAGGGGATAACAATAGAATTTGGTAAGATGGTAAACCAGACCCCTCATAAAAAACTGTCCCACAAAAAATTCCACAAGGCCCATCCATCCAACTCACACACGTATAAATTTGACATCAAACCAAACCGACCATAGAAGCATATAAGGCCTCTCACAGTGCGTCGACCTGGACCGTGCCTTAGTCGCGCCACGTCGGATTTTTGCTGCCGTGTCGCTCAGACCCGCGTCTCAGCTAGGGCGCTCGTGCCTAAACTAGGGGGCACGAAACCTCGCCTGGAAAAGGGGACGCGCGGAGGAATCGACGTGAGGCGCGTGCGATGTGGGAGTCGTTCCCTCGCCGCCCGGTGCTCTTGCTCGAGATTCCCCTGGCGAAATCCCCTATTCGCCCTCGAAAAATCAGCAAGAAGTCGTGCCCAAATCCCCTCCTCCCGCTACCGATTTCGTTGCCAATCACACAAGAACACGAGAGGAATCACACAAGAACACGAGAGAAATCACACAAGAACACAAGATGAATCACCCAAGAACACAAAGAGGAGAGGAATCACACAAGAACACAAAGAGGAATCACACAAGAGTCCACTGTCCCGCACCCGCTTCGTCCTCGCCGCCGTCTGTTCCCGCCGCCCTCGCCGCCCCCGCCGTCGGGAAAGGCGGATCCATCCGCCGCCGCGTCGATTGATGACGGAGCTGACTGCGGCGGCGCCGGTGGGGTCAGGATCAGCGGCGCGGTCGACAGGGAGGAGGCCGCGCCGCGGCGGCGTGGGAGGCGAGGAGGAGGCCGCGCCGCCTCTTCTACCACACCGCCTCCGCCGTGCCTCTTCTTGGGGAGGGGAACCGTTGCGCCGGTGCCTTCCCGGGGACTCCTCCTCCTCCTCGCCGCTGCCTCGAATCGCTCGCCGCTCCTCCTCGCGCCGACGAGCGCCGCGTCCGCCAGATCCGCCGCCGGCCCAGCCTACCCGCTCCTCCTCACGGTGGCGGCGGCTGCTCGAGGTCTCCCTCGGCGAGGTCGCCGCGGTGGAGGCGTCCCTCGGTCGAGCCTCCGCCACCGCGCCAGCCGCCGCCGCCGGGGACGCCTCCTCGGCGCGGCTTCCCGTCGGCGTCGTGGCGAGGAAGGAGAAGGAGGCGCGGCGAGGGATAGAGAGGGAGGGGAAGGAGGCGAGGCGGCGGCGCCGCCACCATGACGACGAGGCGGCAACTGCTGGCGCCGTCGCCTCCCGGCGTGAGAGGAGAAGAGGCGCGGAGAGGAGAAGAGGAGTAGTACTCGAGGATAGGATCAGTCTCGCGCGAGAGAGGAAGGGCTGGAAGGGGTAGGTGGAGGAAATAAATTTTCGTTCGCTCCATCGGTCCGGAAGCTAGGGTCACGCCCACTGTGGGCTTGGTACCATTTACTAGTGCCTCTATCCGATTAAGCCGCACATATATGAGTGCTTGCACTGTGGGGTGAGTGTCTTAGAACCAATTTTTTGGACTGGGGTACGGGTCCCATAGCTTGCACTGTGAGAGGCCTAAGTTGGATAGCTCCGAGGTGAAGATTTAGTTAAGAGCCCCTTCTTAAAGACTCTTAAAAGTGCTTGTTAGGGATAAACTTATTTCCAGTGAATGGTCTTAGGAACCCCACTAGTTCGAAACGAGGTTATAAAATCCATCATAACTTTGGAGAAATCTCATATGATAAGAGTTTCAATCTTGACTTGTGTTTTCCTATGGCGATCCATGAGATTGTACTTCCAGAACCGCGCTGGTTCTAACTTTGTTAAACAAACACATGGTAAACTCGCCAAGATTCCAATGGCTGTCGAGAAGTATATAGAGACTATGGTCAAATACTTTATTTCCCACTTGGCCATTGCATTTGTCTGCCGCTCATCAATTTACAGTTTTGTTTGCTTTTGGCGCCAGGCTGCCCGCAACAAGATGTTGTGCTTCATGGTAACATGTTTAGATCTGAATCATCTGATCGAGGAGCCAAACCACTCTTTAGTGTACAGATCAACGGTCAACTATACAAAGAATCTACTGTTGTGTGCAGGCGTGCAGCTCATCAAGCAGTTTTACAAACTCCAATGTGCACCATGTTACTACGAGTACTAGTGTTCGGAAATGCACAAATTCATCCATTAATCACCTGTGTCGTAAACTCGTAATTCACACCTACTCTCACGACAATACAAAATGTACCAAGTGGTAGTGATTCCTTTTCTTTTCTTTTGAAAAAGGAACAAAAAATATGTGTAAAAAAGAATGATCAATTTGATCTGTTCCGGCCACAAGATTTTACACTTTCCTCCAACTCCGGCGCTGCTCAGCCGCTCGCCGCAGCATGCCGTCGATCATGACGTCCACGGCGTCCTTCATGCCGTCGCCGAGCCCCTCCTTGTCTGCAGCGGAGTACACCAGCTTGGGTATCATCTCCACCACGCGATTCCTCATCTCCCGCACCTTCGCTTCCGGGATGGCCGCAAGAACGCCACGAACGGTGACATTGCCGGCGCGCAGCTCGTCGCGGTCGATGAACACGGACCATTCTTCCTCCTGACTGTTGCCCACCGGCACGTACCACCCGTACTGCCGGTACGCGCTCCGCCGCCAGAAGAGCACCGGCACGGCGCCGCCCACCATGCAGTCGAACAGCGACCGCCGGGTGAAGCTGTCCCCGCGCGGCTGCAGGCAGAAGCGCGCGCCCAGGAACAGCTCCATGACGAGCTCGTTTTGCTTGATGCACCTGCCCTCGCCGCAGTCCAGCGCGCCGCACGCGTCCCCGGCCGCCTGGCACTCCTCGAGCAGCAGCCCGCGGAAATCCCCCTTGATTGCCGATCGCGGGGCGCCGGCGAAGGCGAAGAGCTTGGGGCGAGAGCGGGACGAGGCGTACTGCTGCCACGCGCGCACGTCGGCGGCGGTGCGCGGGTGGAAGCTGGTCGGGTAAGGGATGCCGACGTCCATGGCGTCCCAGGGATCGCGCTCGATGACCAGGCGGGTGGTGTTGGCCAGCCCGGGCATGAGGAGGAAGCTTCCGCCCCACCCGCCGTCCGGCGAGCGGCGGAAGTCCCAGGTGATGCGGCCGAGCGCGATGAAGTGGTCCCAGCCATTAGACCGCTTGTAGTACGGCTGCGCGTGGAGCCACGACAGCAGCGCGAGGCAGTCCCTGTCGCGGTCGGCGTCGGTGGCGTTGGTCGCCCACAGGTGGCGCCCGACGGCCAGCCCCGCGTAGAATGGCACGAAGAACGCCGTGGCGCGGGCCGGATCGGTGGTGCGGCACCGGTGCGAGAGCAGGCGGCGGTGGACGATGTGCTCGAGCGCGAACTGGTCGGAGGAGTACCACGACCCAACCAGCTCGGCCGGCGGGAACTCCGACTGGTTGCCCCCCTTCGCCGGGAACCCGAGCCCGTCGTTGGCGAGGTACGGGCACAGCGAGTACATCGGCGCGAGCACCTCGCACAGGGCGAGCAGATCCTCGTTGAAGACCGGCGGGAGGTCGTAGACGTACACTAGCCCGCCCACGCAGCCGGAGTCCTCGCCGTCACGGCGCGCCGACACCGGCACGCGGTCAACGGCGGCATCGGGGGAGCTCGGGGAGGGCGCGCCGCGGAAGGCGAGGAAGACGAGCAGCTGGAGGGCGAAGAAGGCAACGAGGAGGAGCACGACGAGGCGCGGGCGGCGGGCGGCGGGGTTCGCCGGATCGGGACGATACATCGCGGCCATGGAAAGGAAGGAAAGACACTTCAAGCTTAGAGTGTGTGGGGGATCGTGCGATGGCCTTGGGGAGATTTGAGGCAACCTGGCAGCAGCCGTCGGGACTCGGGACCACGGGGAGAGAACGTGGGGAGCAGAAGGGGGGATCGAGGTGAGGGCAACAGCGAGTTGGAGGCGCGGATGGGGACGCCGGAGATCGTGGTAGGGGAGGGAGGAGGAGATTTTTGCCGTAAAATAAGTGCGGATATGGGAACGAAGTGCTCGTCTCTTTCGGTCGAGGGGGTGGTTGTTGTTGTTCTGTTCGGCGTCGGCGGTGCGAATGTGTGCTGATTTGCTTGCCGCACAGGAGGGGATGAGATCATGAGATTACTTCAGGCAGACTCCAGCAGCAGCCGCCGCCGACGGTAAAACTGTGGCTCGCGGCTCGCCAGTGTTGAGATAAGAACTATAGAAGAGTTTTGGGAAATAGCTAGCATAGCAACGCTCGAGGATGGGGTTTTTAACTATTTGCCACTCTTCCGGAGTGCCACTATCCCTATGCCACCCTTCCAGATTTTTTTACACAAACAACACAAGATAGAGATTTTCTCCCTAATTAGTGTGCCATGTCAGCAGGAGACTTGAAATGACCTTTTTACCCCTGAGTCAAAGTAATACTATTCTCGTTCCAGGCTGTATCGCTCTCCATCCGTTCGCTACTTCGCTCACGCCACCGCTCCTCACGCCTGCTCGCGTCGCCGGCGACGCGGGGCCCATCCCGCCCGCTAGCGCCGCCGCCGCTTCCGCACGTTAGTGCTGTCGCCCCTCTCGCCTGCTAGCGTCGCCGCCCCTCCCGCCTGCTAGTGAAAAATGTTGCTTCACTTGTTCACTTCTTTCAATTGCTGGTGCCATTTTCTTGATTGTTGATATATACTACTCCCTCCATCCCAAAATATTTGATACTGTTGATTTTTTAAAAAATATTTGACCGTTCGTCTTATTCAAAAAATTTAAGTAATTATTAATTCTTTTCCTATCATTTGATTTATTGTGAAATATACTTTTATGTATACATATAGTTTTACACATTTCACAAAAGTTTTTGAATAAAACGAACGGTCAAACATGTTTAAAAAAGTCAATGACGTCAAACATTTAGGAAAACAAAAGCAAAGGTGGGAAGAAAAAAGACCAAGGATGCATGTGATGCCGCCCAAGCAACTCCCAATGAACTTTATTACGAGGGATTACTTGTATGTGATGTCTTATTATGGTCTTGTGAACATGTCAGGTTGGTAATATATATTGTAATATGGATGGTTCGGTTCTATATATAAGTGGCTATGTTTAATCTATTATTATATTGTGGTGAACTTGTTCAATGATATTTGTTAACATATGTTTGTATATAATCTCTCATATTATAAGAGACCAGGGGCAAAAAGGTCATTTCAAGTCTCCATTGCTGCCATGGCACACTAATTAGGAAGAAAATCTCTTTCTTGTAGTAGTGTTTGTGTAAAAAAATCTGGAAGATTGGCATATGGATAATGGCACTCCGGAAGAGGGGCAAATAGTTAAAAACCAAGGATCCTATGTTGTGTTTGCTGTTCTATTTTTTTTAAAAAAAATAGTTTGAATTACCCAAAAAATGACAAAGACGTAACGGGGCGGCGAGCTCACCACCAGGAATGCAAAAGAAAAAAAAAAGTATACTTGACTCCCTCAACTATGGATCTAGTATGATTCATAACCTCCAACCATAAAATCGGGTATATCGACTCCTCCAACTATCAAAGCTGATGCAAATTATATCCCTGGTTGGTTTTGGAAGCGGTTTTGGCTGATGTGTCGCCTACGTGGCGTTGACCCGGTATTCATTCTACGTGTCGTTGACGTACAGCTTCTGTGGCATTAGAGTGAAAACAAAAAACAAAAATACGTAGGACTGACATGTCATTCACACATGAAAAAAAATAGTGGGACCCACTGACATGTGGGCCCCACATGTCATCCTCTTCCTTCTTCCTCCTTTACCCTTCCTCTCCCCTCTTCTCTCTCCTTCCCCTTCCTCCCTCCTCTTGCGTCTTGGCAGTGCTCGTCGCTGCCTCCGATGTCGGGATGGTGCTCCAATGTCGGTCCCACTTCGTTGGCATCGAGTCATCTCCGCCATCGGCGGAGTCAAACTGCTTATGTACGGCGAAGTTGCCCCGCGACGGCTTGAGGACGAGCGAGAAAGAGACGAAGCCGGCGGTGTTAACCTCGACGGCCATGGTGATGGCTAAGGTGGTGACGAGTGAGAAGCTTTGCGGCGCCTGCTCCAGGAGGAGGCGGTGGACACCGACAGCTGGGGGCGGTCGGCTCCTGAGTCATGCGTCGGAGAAGAAGCTCGGCTGGAGGCCAGCAGCCTCGGGGCAGCGGGGCCCTCATCGACGGGGTCCCAGAGGCGACGGCAGCGGGAAGTTGAACCCATGGGCAGTGGAGCTCCAGGACGGACGGCGGCGTCAGGACAAAGTGGTTTTCAGCGGCGGCGCTGATAGGCGGTGAGGCGTGCAACTCCATAGCTCGGCGGTCAGGCAAGAATCGGTACGGTGCAGCAGGTGGGCGGCGGTGTGCTTGGGCTGAGAAAGGAGAGCGAGGGGAGCGAGGAGGCTGAAGAAAGAGGACGAGGAAGGGGAAGAGGTAGGAGGAAGAAAGAAGAGGATGACATGTGGGGCCCACATGTCGGTGGGTCCCTCTATTTTTTCTATGTGAATGACATGTCGGTCCCATGTATTTTTTTTGTTTTTTTTACTCTAATGCCACATAAGCGGCACATCAACGATGCGTGGGACGGAGATCGGGTCAACACCGTTACGTAAGCGCCACATCAGCCAAAACCGCTTCCAAAATCACCCAGAGATATAGTTTGCATCGGTTTTGATAATTGGAGGAGTCAATAGACCTGTTTTTGTGGTTAGAGGTGATGAATCATACTCGAGCCATAGATGAAGGAGTGGAAGTATACTTTTTTCCAATGCAAAATGACCACTGGAAAATAATTTGGGCTGCAATGTCCCAATTTTAATCTGGCCTAATCCAAATGGACAAACAGGACAACTACGGCCCATCAGGACGAGGAATGCTAGGAAGTAGCAGGTTAGTACCATGTAGTTGTCTTTACGAAGAAACTATGAAGGTAGCCCGCGCAGTTACGCGGGTATCTTATTTAAGCCATCATAATTTTTTGTTATTAGGATTTTGAATATTATGATTTTCCCTTGGTGAAAGACTTTGAAGATTCCTTTATAACAAATGATTTAAAAAATTATAGGAAAATATAAAAGGTATAGAAATAGGTTAGAAATACATGTGTAAAATAGAGAATAAACGAATTTTGGATGGAGTACAGAAATAAGAGGAATTTCAAAATTTGTTAAACCCATATAGATCAAATCATCACCTATCAGAGCATAAATAAAATGCAATTAACCAAACAACCTTTGTATTTAGCAGCTTGATTGTCTTGATCCCATGCGAAGGAAAAAAACATACGCATGTATCTTATTTCTATTTTCTCTTAACATATTTAGGCAGTAAAACATTAAAATCGTAATTATATTCTATATGACAACTGAGTCCAGCATCATACCATTATATTTATTTCTAAATGTGTGCATTATAACTTGTCACATGTTGTGAGTATTTCTTTATTTTATGATTTTCTCTAATTCATTATAGTGTCATGTAATGGTTAGGAGCGTTTCTAGGATGCCTAATGATAGTTTAGGAGTATTCGTAAGATGTTTGATGGACTTAAACTTTCCTATGTTTATTTGCTTGGTAACGGTAGGATAGGAAATTTTCCTTCAAAATCACTATGACCTATTCGTGCAAACCAAATTAATGATAGTATAGTCATGCAATCAATAGGAATCCTAATCGCACACTGTTGTTTGTTTTTCATATAATTCAAAGGAGCTTTGAATTTTAATTGTAAATCCCAAATATAGCTTTCAGCTGAATTCAGATTTTTTTTAATGGTGTATTGTTTTCAGATTTCACAAAGAAAACTAAACAAAAGAGAGGGACGTGGGGCCTGCGTGAGTACGTACATACCGTACCTATGTGCATCTAGATGTTGAGACTTTTAAAGATAAATTTAAATGGTACTTTTCTAAGATAGATCTAATGGGCGGAAACAATGGGTCCACCAGAATAAATAAAAACAACGGCTAGATTTTTTTTTCTTTGAATTTTTGGGATTTATTATAACGCCACGTGACGGTTTAGGAGCGTTTGTAGGAGTCCCACATCACAGCTTGAGAGCGTTTGCAGGAAGTTTATTGTAGGAAGTTTGTAGGGAAATGCGATTACGGACATCTATTTATTTCTAAATGTTAAAATCTTTTATGATTGGTATCAATACTTGCCTATCATTTGTTGATGTTTGCCCACTTAGTATTGTCCTTTATCGGTATTTGATAATGCACGTGATCATTAAATGTCATCTAATTATTGGCGCGCTATGTACGGATGCCTCATAAGTAGTATAACTTGACGATTGGTGGATAGTAGTTTTTATATGAAACTTATATACATAGGGATTAGTAGGGATATACAGTTGATATATTTGACTATTCTTGATTAACATGATATTTTATATACTATATATTTAGTAATAAATTTAAGATTGAGTTCTAAAGTATTAATCAGATTGGCTACTCCCTCATTTATGGTGAGCATGTTTCCTAAACTATTATGCAAAGTATTCTAAAATATCAAATAAATCCATATTCGAGTTTATAATATTTAATACTTAATTAGTCTTACGCTGATGATATGCTTTGTTTCGCGTGTCCGAGGTAAGCTCATCCAATGAGCTAGACCGAATGAAGCCTAAGAGATAAAAGGACATCCATATGGTGTCAAAAAAATATGATCATTAATTTTCTAAAAATATATGACTAAAGAAACATATAATATATAAAAATACATTCATGATAAATTTGTAATGTCATTTAGAAATATCTATTATATAGTAGGGGGTGAGTAAATTTTTAGAATGCTACTCACAATTTAAGTTGTTTTTATTTTTAAAATATAAGTCCAATTTAACTTTGTTTTTAAGTGATATACAATTATATAATCTTCATTTTTAATTTATTAATATTTTTATGGATGTTTCCATGATATGCGCTATTTAGAATAAAACTTAAAATAACATATATTCTTACATCTTAAAACATATATTTTTATGGAGTAGTTAACATGGACTTTTTAGTTTTTCATCTAATGTAAGTATAAGGAGGGAAAAAAAAGAAAAAGACATAGGGGATATGTATGTACGGACGTACTTAAGTACGTACTACAGGTACACTGGGACACAGTACGTCCGTACAGGCACACGGGGACACGGGGTGATGTGGGATTATTTAAGAGATAAACTGATTTAGTTTTTTTTTATAAAATATAAAAATCTAATGGTAATAATGGTTCCACCAAATTAAATGAAAATAGAGTATGTTTAATGGACTATGCTTACCTACTGGTTGCCGTAAGAAAAAAAAAAGACCATTTGCATGTACTTATACGGTAGAAAAAATAAAGCCAAAAAATCATATGTACGTACTAATGTTGCAAAGAAAAGGATTTCCTACAATTAAAGATAAAATATATTACTTTACAAATTTATGCAAATATATGTAGTTAAATTAGACCTATACTATAAATATAAAATATCCAATCAAAGATATGTGTTGTTAAATAGATCATTAAAATATCTATATGATTTTCCTTATAAATGTGTTTTGTTTTTCTACTTATTAAATATAGTTAGTTTGGGTCTTGAATTATAAATTTTGTGGTAAATAATCTAATAACGTATGTGGATAAAATATTAGTTATCATAAAATATATTTTCATTATTGAGGAGGGGAGCTTACGTAGATGCACCGTACGTATATGGACAGTCATGTGGGCCTTTTCTTTTGGTCAGCAAATCCAACGGTAGAAAATTGTGGGTCCACCAAATTTAAAGTAAAATCGATGATTAGATATCAATGCACCACGTGGCGATCTATGAGTGTTCATAGAAGAGCCACGTGTTGGCTTGAGAGCGTTTTTAGTAAGTTTAATGGACTTTTAGTATATAATAGATATACTGCATATAAAACTACTCGTAAAATATACTCCCTTCATCCCATTGATAAGGCGCGCATGTATTTTAAAATTTAACACTTTAAATATTTGATCAATAATTATTTTATCATAAAATAAATTTTATTTGATATAAATAATATCATTTGATTGATATTTCATTATTTTCCTTTGGTTATGTTTTGTAGGTACAAACACTATAGTATATGATAAATTTAAAGTCAGATTAATTTTGATGATGGTGTCATGTTTGATCGTGTCTTATTACGTGGAACGGAGGGAGTACACATAGCCCTCTAGTAAAAAGTTTTTAAGAGTATAATACACACGTTATTTTTCTTACATACCTACACCTTAGGAGCACTGTTGTCTTCGACAACCATATCTAACCGTCATTATCCCCGCCAAAATGGATGAAATAGACCAGCGCCGCCCTTGAGTTTTGAACTTTTGATATGGTGTGAAGCTTCACCGGGCCAATGCGCGGAGATAGAACGGGCCATCCATTTTCAGAGTCAGCATCGGCCTATAACCCACGGTGGCGTCGTCATCCCACATCTCGAATCTGAAGAAGTAGAGAAGGACAGCCGAAACGATCTTCATCTGCCTGTACGCGAACTCCTTCCCCAAGCAGATTCGTGGCCCCGCCTGTCCATCCAACAAGAGCCCGAACCCATCACACATAAATGAATGAATGATGTTGTATACTGTTACTTGCCAGTGGCAGTACTGCTGTACGGAGTACTGAGGAGGCTGAATTCACCTGGAACGCCGTGAACTTGAAGGGGCTCTCGGCGACGAACATACCACTGTCATCGAGCCACCGCTCCGGCTTGAACTCCTCGGCGTCGTCGCCCCACAGGAACTTCATCCTGCCCATGGGGTACGGTTGGTAGTTCACCATGTCTCCTTTCTTCACCGCGTGCCCGTCCGGCAACGTGTCATCCGAGAAGCAGTATTTGACATCCTACAGCGCAAACACAGCCACGTAACAAATGCGCTGCAGTTTCTACCTTCAGAAAAAAAAAATCAAGACCAACAACAGTAGCAGTCCTCCTGCCCTCTTATTCGAAAAAAAAAAAGACCAACAACAGTACTCACGAGGGGAACGCCAGGGTACAACCGGAGCGTCTCCGTCAACGCTGCGTGTAGGTACTGCATCTTGTTGATGGCGTCTTCTGTCAGAAATGAAGAGAAATCCTGGACGCCGACGTCGCGGTCGCCGGTGGTGGCGTCGCGCACTTCCCTCGCGATCTTGTCCTGTACGCGCTGGTTCTTGCAGACGGCGTAGAGGAACCACGACAGCGTCCCCGCCGTCGTGTCGCGGCCGGCGATGACGAAGTTGAGTATGATGTCCCTGATGTACTTGTTGTCGAAGCAGCCGGGATCCTTCTCCCTCTCGAGCAGAAACCTCGACAGTATGTCCTCTTTCTTGGCCTGCCAGTGGTGAACGCCGACTCACAAAGTCACAAGGTCATAATCAGATATATGTACTGTCCAGAGCCCAGGCTCTTGAAAATTAAGCGAAGCTGCAAGTAAGATGTCGATTGAGCTTACGAATTCGTGTTGCTCTCTGCTCATCTGTTCGATCTTCCTGTCGATGATGGAGTACACGAAGTCGTTGATGGTGCGGATCGACTGCTTCATGGTTGCCTCCGACGAGATGTTGAGAAACCTCTTGACCTTCCAGAGCAGGTCGAAGAATCGGAACAGCACCTGCTCGCTCGCGTCGTCGAACGCCCTGGCAAACACCAAGCCCTCCTTGCTGGATCCGGAGAGCACGCCAAGGTTGACCCCGAAACCAACCCTGAAGAAAGAGTCCAGCGTCGCCCGCATCAGCAGATCCTGCATGTCCACCCTCTCCCGCCCCTTCGCCGCCGGACCACGCTCCAGGATGCCGGCGAGCTCCGCGGCGGTGTCGCGGAACACGGCGCTGCTGTAGTCCCGCAGCACACGGGTGGAGAACTCGAGGCTGGCGACCTTGCGCTGCTGCCGCCACATGCCGCCGTCCACGTTGAAGATCCCGTCGCCGAGGAGGTCCTCCAGCACGTCGTGGGTCATCGGGCCCTTGCCGTAGTTGGCGAAGTTGGTCTTGAGGATGTGCTCGACGTTGGCCGGCTCGACGGTGTAGACGTAGTTGCAGGTCGGGGTGAGCATGCGGAAGGTGCGGTACTTGCGGGAGAGCTCCGTGTGGTACTCCAGCAAGCGGCCGAAGTTGAGCAGCTGGTGGAACATGGTGCCGGCCACGGGCGGATACCTGCGTTTCTTCCCCAGCACGGCGCGGCGCGCGAGGTAGAGCGCCACGAGTAGCAGCAGCGACAAGGCGACCATCGCCGGATGGCTCAGCGGCGACTCCATGGCCGTGGGCAGCTTAGCAGAATAGGTGTCTCCCTCCCCGCAATGCAAGTACTAGTAGACTATAGCAGACGGATGATGTTGATCCACTTCCAGTTACTGCTTGTGGTCCGGTATTTTGGCCCACTTTTCTTCTTTCCTGATTTCCTGTTGATTTTAAAGGAGTAGAAAATCAGATCTTTAATTATTTTATTAGACCAAAGTGATCTGTAATTATTTTTGTCTTGGCAAAGGAAAATCGGATCCGGCTCCTCTTATTGGTTGATCCCTAGGCCACCAAACCAAAGAGAGCACACAGCACACATGGGCTTGGCCCATCCCATACCTACGTGTGCCTAATGGTGAGGACCGACTCTCGGTTTTCATATGCACGTTATCATCCTATGCGCGATGATCGGGCGAGCTTCGCTAGACTCACCCCCGATCCCCTAGCACACACAAATATAAGGGGACTTAACCCCCGTACAAAGGTGACGATCTAAGTACGAGATTAGATACCCATACCATAAGTTCTACTGATCCAAAAGGTGCGCTAAGGGGAGTTGAAGAGCGAATTCTTATTGCCATCTTCATCACCGGTACCTCATAACCACCACAATCGCTACACCGATAACGTCAAACAACTAAGCTAAGGGCGAAACTAACTTCTCCAAACACCGGTCAGTAAACCATCAAGTTCCGCATAAAATTAGGTGATCATGCATAGCCTAAGATCATGTATTCATGTTTAGGAATTATCTCCAATACCTCTGACCTGATCATCTTAAGAAGCAAAACCTTTGTTTTTTAAGAACTCACAAACTTTATTTCATTTCAAAAACATAATACATGATTAGGTATACAATTCAATACACTGAAATGATCTCAGTTCCCTAGCATAACAGCTGAGATATGTTTGGCGCACAGTGAAAGGATAACTGGTCTAACCAACGTACACAAAATCACAATAAATTATTATAGTCCTCCAAAAATATTTTTTTTCAGAAACCTCCAAAAATAATTCTGAGAACAAACTTTTATTTATTTTTAGCGATAATGGATTTTATGCTGTTGAGAACTGGAGAGCCAGGGATAGAAAATAGGTTTCTCCTTTTAAAAATGAAAAAGAAAATGAGGGGAAAGAGGAACAAAGGAAAACAAAGCAAACCCCGCAGACTTTTGCTTTAAAGCCCATTGGCATTCGGCCACTGATTAGAGCAAACCAATGAAGGCCCAATAAACCTAGAATAAACTAGATTGGGCTTTCAGGACGTCAGTATTTGGGCCCACATTGAGCTTCTAGTGAGCATCTTGGAGCACCTCAGCATTGGGCCTCTCAGAGCGCCTCAGTTTTCTCTAGAGGAAAATGTGTCGTCCCCCATCCGTAAAACCGGATACAGCTCATTCTCCAACTTACAAAACAAGTGTAAAGGTTTTGACTCCGGTTTTATCTGATGTGGCAGTTGAGTCAGTGTGGGACCCATGTAGGCTCCACATGTCAGGATGCCACGTCAGCATGGATCTACCCCTACCCAACCAGCTCCTCCTTCCCCCGCACAGCGAGCTCGTCGCGGATAGCTTTCGCCGGAGAGGTAGAACGACGACGACAACCTACAGGTAGTTGTCGCTGCCACGTTCATGGTTGCTATGGTGCGCTTGCCGGTGTCCCTCTCCAAGCCGGAGATGGTGGAGCTCTCGCTGGCGAGGAGAGGTACTCCGACGCCGACACGACAGCGCCGAACTCGAGCCTTAGCTCGGCGGCGAGCAGCACGAGGAGCCTCGCGTGGTGCTCGAGCCTGTTGCAGCTATCCTTCGACTGCTCGCCGTCGGCCGCTGTGGCGGCGACATCGTGCTAGCCGCCACTGGCGTCGGTGTTGTTCCGGGGCGGCGACATCGTGCTAGCCGCATAGGTCCGGGGATGTCGCGTGGGCGGCAATCCGCGCGGCGTCGATGACCTCCGCGGCGCCACTCAGGCCGCGGGACTTGTGCGACGCATCGGCAGCGGCGACATCATCGGGATGGTGTACCTGTGCCACCTCCGGAGCTCACCGGCGTCGGCGGCGGAGAGGGAGAGCCCGTGCCTGTACACGATGAAGGTGGTGGACCGGCGGCGGTGGCGAGGAAGCAGAAGCTAGAGCGCGCGGCGGCGGAGAAGTGAATCCTGCGGCAGCTCGACCACCCCTTCCTCCCCACCCTCTTCCTCGACTTCAACGCCACGCCTCCCGCCGCTACGAGCTCCTTTACGGCCGCACCCCATTCGCCAACGCCACCAATGAGGCCACCCTCCGCAACATCGTCCGCCGCCCTCTCGCCTTCCCCTCCGGCTCCGGCTCGTGCGGCCCGCCGACGCCGACGCGCGCGACCTCATCGCCCGCCTCTTCGCCAAGGACCCTGCCGCCCGCCTCAACTCTCGCCACGGCGCCGCCGACGTGAAGTTCCACCTCGCCTTCCTCTGTTCATCGTGCCCGCCCGTCGTCCTGGCGCCAGCGCCGCGCCACTGCACCTGTCGCAGTCGTGCAAGGCGGCGCCGACAACGCCGACGCCGCCGCCGCCACCGCCGACGAAGCCGGCCTGCCCAGAATCTAGAGAGAGAGAGAGGAGAAGAGGAAGGGAGAGGCTGGCCTGCTAACATGGCATCCTGACAGGTGGGCCCACATGGGTCCCACTCTGACTCAGCCGCCACGTTGGATAAAACCAGGGCTAAAATTAGTTTGTACTGGTTTTGTAAGTTGGGGGATACGCTATATCCGGTTTTATGGATTGGGAATGATTTTGTAACTCGATGACAAGTTGAGGGACCTTCGGTCTACTTTTTCCTTCTCCAGATGACGTCGCGCACTCACGCAAACCTGCACGGCTCGGCTGCACATGCTTGGACTTTTGTTTGGATCATTGGCTGGACTCGCCATCCGACCGTGGAATTTCGGGGGCATATGCGCTCGTGGCGGGTGGTCGGTTGAGGCGTGGAGCAGATCGCATTGAAGGGCAGCGTGCTGCGGGTGCGGTCTCCGGTGGCGCCGTGGCGCCTTCAATTCTGGGTCGAGCAATCGCATAGGTGAACGACACCGGTTGCAGCCTTTCGTGGCCCCCCTTCATACTGGATTACCGAGTTGGCAAGCCGGGCCGATGAGTACTGTAACTTGTAGTACCGGAGTATTGGCGTGAGTGTGAACGCGCGATGCTCTTGTTGTGTCGTTGGCAACATGGTGATGGGTATGGCTAGGGCTAGCTAACGAGCCAGTTTGACTCGTGTCTCAACGAGCCAATCCAGCTGTCTAGACACTAGTAGTTTATTTTAGTAAAGAATATATCATCGGTTCTTAAAGTTGAGATATGGTATCACTTTGGTTCATGATCTTGTAAACCTGGCATTTAGGTCCATAATTTTGTTTTAATGTAACATCCAAGTCTAAAAATTGTTCGACTGGGTTTGACCACCAACGTGGTAGTGCAGCATGGCCGAATATATATGCATTTACCCCCTCCGTGGCCCCATTGACCCGCTTTCTCCGGGTTGACAACAACGGCAACCATACTCTACTAGGATGGTGCCACACAATATACGTCTGGATGTACATCTTCTTCACGATGACATTTGTCTGCCCCCGGCTCATCTCAAAGTCTAACCGGAACGTCTCCAGTGCGATCTCATTCATTCACTCTTCTCGCATATACAACAACATGCTGCTTGCCGGCACACAGGGAGGTCATCATACCCAACTAGATGCACAACAAGTCTGCGATAGCAACACTCTCCTCCACTTCGTTTAGGATAGCTGTGCGTCTGCGCCGAGAGCTACTAGGAGGTGTAGCTAGCTAGATGCACCATCCAGCCTAGCAACATGGCCATGATATGAAAGATGGTGTTGGCACCAATGGTGGGTGTGAGGTAGAGACGCACCCTCTCAAGATGAAGATATTATGGATCCCGACGGTACCGGCAAATCTACCTTGTTCGAGATCATTGCTGGCTGCCTCCATCCCTTGCCGCCTCCTGACATGCTCCTCAACGTCACCCCATCACCAATGCTGACCTACACTGTCTTCGGCTACCCAGCACAACATCCTCTTCTTGCAGCTCAACATGCACAAGATGTTGCCTTCAGCGGACGTCTCTACCTCGGTAGATGCGTCTCGCCCAAGGGCATAGACACCCGTATTGACGTGTTCATCGATGATCTTACCCTTACTTGTGTCACCATCAGTCCACCACAAGTGACTAGGGAGAGATGGGGGTCATAAGGGTCACGGAGAGGGTAAACCGGTAAATACAAGGATGTGACCATGCCGGACTGCCACATCAATGGTCAAACACAGTAAAATGAGATTTGGACCTGGTTGGTACATTAAAACAAGATTATAAACCTAAAGATTGAATTTACAAGATGAATAAAGTGATATCACGTCCCATCTTTAAGGATCGACGTTGTATTTTACAATTTCTGTTATAAAACCGGCCCCGAAATCACATCGAAAACCAAACCGCGGAAGAAACGCCATAGGAGATCAAAACATGATGACGACACCGAGGCATGATATTTGATAACGGAGTTCAGCCGAGGCCTACATCTCCGGGGCACTGATTACGGGCGCTCCTCCCCGATCCAGCATATACAGCGTATCAGAGTTACAACAACTCACGGTCGGTCGCCGCCAGCAGCCGCTCTCTCTCGCTATGCTAAGTCGCCATGCGGTTACAATAGGCGCGCCCCTCTATTTATGAGAGATCCTAGGATAGAGTCCGACTCATACTCTAGTCCTACACCTATTACAACTCCAAGTCGTAAATTGTAACCGACTACGTACACATATTCGATACAAACTCTAACAAACTTCACCTTGGCGAATATGCCACGCCAACCTGAATTTGTTCCTTGCGCGAACCTCCGTGTACCCGGACTTGAGTTGATCCTTTTTCGCTGCTCACGCCGAGCTGCCCCGACAAGCCTCCACCAGGCTCACCGTAACAAGAGACTCCCGCTATCCCTGCAATTTCTTCTTCTTGACTCCATCTGCAACAGTGCTCCACCTTCTCTCATATCACCACAGTCGTCTTGCCAAGCGAATTGAATTCTTCCTAGCTGTCACGTCATAGACTCCCCGAAGACCATGTTCAACTTCATCTACCGTATTAAATTTGA